ATTATTATTTCCTCCAATATAAATATTATATTTAAATTCATTCAATAAATTATTATAAAATATTAATTCATTATTAATAAATATCCATTATATATATATAACAATAAATAATTCTAAAAAAATATATCATATATTTTAAAATGAATATATTTAATAATCTTTCAATTCTCCTAATTATATAATAAATTTATGTTAATAATATATATTATTTTATATTTATATATAATAAATCAATATATATTTATATATTTCTTTATTTCATAAATTATCCATATATATATATTTTTTAAATTTATTCAATATATATTATAATATATAGTTGTTTCCTGCCATAATTATCAAATCTTTGATATTAATCTATTTCAAGAAATTATATATATATAATCTAATCGGCACACTCACTGTCCTCACCATTAATTTTAATCAAATAAACGAATGTATGAAGCGTAAGGTGAGGTGATTTCATATTGAGATTCATATTGAGAATATGTATATTGAGAGGTGAATCTTGGGATTATTTTTTGAATATATATTTTTGAAAGGATGGTTGATATGGTATAATTTATTATTTCATATTGCAATTTATTGAAATATTATCTAGGCTAATCTTGATTGTTGAAATATCAAATATCCCAGGCCCTTTTCATGTTGCTTATGGTCCAATATAGTCTTGATTTTCCCACCCTGCGGTTTATCGTTTGTCTTGGCATTATTGATGTTGTGGAGAAAATAACTTGGTGTTGAGGGTGTTGTCTTTCTCTTCTTAGCACGTATCCGAATAATTTGAAATTCCTTTCTTCCAATTTATCTATCATAGCTTTTGCTTTGCTAAATGGCCCTACAATTGGCGCATTGAATGCCTCATTAGTTGCATTGTAAACCAATTCATTGGTATTTTCGCGTTAGATATAGGTAATTCATAAATTAATATTTTTTTCTAAATCTTTAAATTTGATTAAAATAAGAAATTGCGTCATTCCCTACGTGGGTTTTAAAATTTCCAGATCATACAAATATGTTTAATAATATAAATATCGTTTACTAACAATTTTCATTTCTTATTATAGCAAATGTTAAACCAAAAAATATTTAATATTTTAAGTATTACCATAATTGCCGCGATATATTTTCTAATTTAATATTTTAAATCATTTTTCTTAATTATATATATTCCGAAATATATAATATCTTCCAATATTTACATTCATCATCCAAAAAAAATATTATTAATTAAATTATATTTAAAATATATATATATCCTAATTTATTTTCAAATAAAAATAAATATATTATTTTTTTATTTATAAATCTATCATTCAAATATTTTATATTATATTTTAATATATTTAATAATATATCATTTATATAAAACAATTCATTAAAAATATATTTCTTTAAATTTCTTTTTATTTCGTAGATCGTTAAAATTATTTCTTATATTATTAATATATATATATATTTCATACATATAAACATATATAATTCCAATTTAAATAATATAATTACAAAATTATTCCAATATTTTATATATATATTCAAATATATTAAATTAGAGGGGAGAATGCTATAAGCGGCATGTTTTTCGATTAAAATAAATATGTTCTTTTCAATTTTTTTAAATATAATTTCTTAAACATAATTAATATATTTAATATGTTATCCATCAAAGATTCAAGAACCGCCATTTGTGGCATTCGTCTACTATAATAAACGACATCATAAAAATCAAAAATTCAAAAAACAACAAACAATTCTACAGACCATAAAGAGAAAAAATAGAAAATAAAATCCTAACACAATTAGTTTTTTTGTTTTTTTAATTAGATTTTTAGAAAATTCGAATTTTGGAAATTGCCTTTGGGGGACGGGGGGGGTTAAGGCAAAATAGGATTCTTTCAGTGGCACAAAAATCAATAGAAACCCAATAGAAATATAAAGACAAAACATAAACAAAATAAAACAATGCAAAAACGCGCCGCTCAAAGCGCTCCTTTCTGTTAAATTAAAAATTGATTTGAATATCAATTATATATCAATCTATTTTAATTGAACATCAATTATATAAAAATAGATATTTAATTCTTTTTGCAGGGCACAAATAAATTGATTTGTTATTGTATTATGTCAAACCGTCAATCCCTATTGAAAACGTCATAGAATTTCTTGGGAAAATCTGTTTGGATAGCAATCACTCCCTTATAGGAGAGACAGGTCTCAATCGCAACTTCGGTGTTGGCGATAAACAAAATGGTCGGCACCTTGTAGCGCCCGAACAAATGTTCAAACAACTTGGGAGTATCCGTCCAGCGTCGCAGGAAGCAAAGCAGCGCCCAAATGAGCCCGCTCTTGACCGATCGGGTGTGCGGATCGACCTTCCTGCGTGGGATTGGGCTTTGAGGGTGAAATGAAGGGGGAAAAGAATCATGTACCAATTGAACATAGGGGGGGGTGCTTAAAGTCTCAACATTTCTTAATTAGTCATTTGCTACGTATTTCTCCACTGTACCTGAAGAGGTGGATCTCCTTCCATTTTTGCGACCTATAGGGTTTCCAATCTTTTTCTAATTTGATCATCGTGGCCAAGCCATACAACGACTCCGAACCACAAATCCGGCTGGAGCGTCTTGACCAGCCCATCATTCTCGCCAAGTCTCGCGGCTTTGCAAAACGCGTTGTGCCACAAGTCAGTCACGTGCGGCACGTTGAACACTATGGGGCCTTCCACCAGAAATGGTAGAAGTCGTCCCAAGCTTAGGCCACAAAGAGGAAAACACAGATTCCAGCACGTCCAAACCTCGAATCTGCGTGGCCAAGAAACCCAAAGGCGGAAGTTACTGAAACAATAATCAACAATCCTGAAAGCACTGAGGAGTGACCACAGTGACAAACAGTGAAGAGGTTGCATCACTGAAAGCACTGCGAATCATGCCAGGACACTCGAAATGCTTGTGCAAAAGTGATCAAGACCTTAGACCGACCAGATCGCTTCCCCCCACAAAGGATCCGCGCCGCTTTCGGTGCAGCGGGAGAAGCATCGGAACCCAAAAGGTCCAGAAAACAGAAGCGATCTGTGCAAGAGAGTCCAGATCAAGCCGCTTAGCATCGACTCCAAACTCCCAAATTCCAGCGAATCGATCACGTCGAAGCTGCGGCTTCGCCGCAGATCGCAAGTTTCAACGACACTCCCTTCATTTCACCAAGGATCATGTGGCCTTGTCCAGTCCAAGAAACTTATGAAATATCTACCCCTCCAAAGCCCCAAGAAACGCGCTTCTAAATTCATGCCTGAATTCTTCCAATTGATCCTGAATTCTTTCTCCTATTGTACGATGTGCTACTCCTGACTGGGTCACCTGCACCCTACTTCTGGTTGGGTCCACTTCCCTACTGGGTCCAACCCCTGGAGAATCCATTAACAGGTTACATCGACTGCTGATCGTTCACCGCCCAGTGTCGGGTATCTGGGGCGCTGCTCGACGGCACCAAGCCTGGATGGAGGCCTTCCTGAGTCGCAGCCTTCCTTCGGTCGACTCAATTTTATGCGATTTATATAAACTTGCATTTGGAAAGATACATCCTTGTATATGTTTATATAATTTATATACATCCATAGGGTATCAACACTCAGTGAACTATAAATTGGAGAGGGGTTCCGCAAAACCTTTGGGTGAGTCAACCAAACCTAGGCCACCCCAAACAGCCATGATCAATGAAGACACATGATGCGCATACAAATGCATCATAGTGAAACATGGTGAAACATAGTGAATCGAACATTAATTTTTCACCAAAGACAGCGAACAAACGCAACTATATAATCACTAACGTCAATTCCTCACTTTGAGGCAACGAACCTAACATGTCGTTCACCCGCGTCTACAGTCTCCCTGCGAGTCCCAGCTTCTCAGGGGACCCCCAAGCGGCAATCTGATTTAGCAGCTGATGACGCTTCAACAGTTCGAGCACACTGAGGATCAATTCTTCCTAGTCCGTTCGGCCGAATTGGACGAGGTGGTGATTAAAACATTATGTTGTATATGCACCAATTGAAGGGTCCCCTCCAATACAAATTAAGGGGGATCACCATGCTGAACAAGAACGGAATAGCATTTCTTTTCATACATGCTCAATCCACCCAAAAGATTGAGGGGAGACGGTGGGGACCCCAAGAAACAATTTCAACACACAGTCGGTGCATGTCGTGCCCTCCAGCATGGGCTCGACCGTGGTGCCATCCAGTGCACTCCAATCAAACGCTTGAATCGAGCCAAACCAAACTATCCAAGACTTCGGGAAAGGTACATAGTCAAACCTGCCCAACTTCATAGCTCAAATCAGTTAGACCATAATCCATATTATTCCATACTACTATAATGATCCCCTGCTGTCATTTTTGTGTAACGCTGACGTTGCCATCTCTCGATCTCCATGTGTGTTCGATTGGCCGATAAAGCCCGCGCACCAAACTCTGGGCTCAGATCTTCCCCGAATGGCTTCACCAATCACTGGGGCAGGTGAGGTGGTGACTTTGACATGCCCTAAAGGCAAATGTGAGAGTTTGAAGGTGGTATAGTATACATGACACCAAATGAAATACACATATATAATCATATATATATATTATAATGTATATTATATTTTTCATGCTAATGCATGCTAATGCTATATATATATAATGCACATTGACTTGAGGTTCACCACCCAACGGTGTAGCGGCAAAGCAAGCGAAAAATAACTGTGGAAACCAACGCCCAGCTGCAGACTCTTGCCAAAACTCCAAAATGATCTGGGTACCTTGGCAGACCAACACTTCCGATTTAAAGTTCATAAACAGTCGTAGACCTTCCCAACTCCCAGATCTTTCATGATCTTTCTTTCAGGAACGGAATGACTTTTCTGGCAGTCCCCCAGCTTCTGGTCCGGTCTTCATGTGGACATGTCCTGCCAAAAATGCGGACCTGACTGGAAATTGCCGAATTGAGCCTCCTTCCTTGAGTTGATCAACACATTCCGATGACAGTCGGTTGATCTGGATCAAGTATGATCAAGCATGATGGCATCACCATGATCAAGCCCTTGACCAAAAAGAGCCTCTCCAAGAAATCCAGGACACCCGTGCCAGCGAGTAGTCGGCATGCATCCTCAAAAAGACTCACCTTGAGCTCCTTCACTGCCACTGGAAAAGCATCTTCAGGACAAAAGGCATTGGGCTGCAAGAGCTGCTTAAAGGGTGGGAGCCTCAGGGAAGCACCGTGAAACATCCACTGGTTGACTTTGCCGATGAACGCCATGCTTGAGGCGCTTACCAGATGGATGTTCATCAACTTCAGTGGTCCCGCGCCCTGTAGGATTAGTGGAGTTCTTCTTTTGAAGGGGGGAATTGTTCAACATGTTCAATTCTGGAGCATCCAGCTATCCTCAAACCAGGAGTACAGCTGGTTCCTGGTTCTTGCCGGTTCACTCGTCGTAGTTGAAGTCGTGGATCTGCCCTGTGACCCCCATGAGCTTCTCCATGTTCCGCTCCAAAGGCACATCGTGAAAGAGGATCACCTCCGGCGAAAAAGAAGGCTTCTGGTTAGGCTTACAGTATAGGCGACATGGCGGTCCAAAAGGAAAAACCGGGACCGTGAACCATCGTGACATGAAGTGAACATGACTCCTAGAGAGGTCAACTGAGGTCAACCTACTTACCAGGGGCACAAGGGCTACAAGGTTTGACCCACAGCTAGACAAGGGTTTCAATGCTAGTCGCGATGCAAATCGAGAGTTCCGGAGAAACTGCTGGCAATCCCTGCGGGTGGATCGTGCCTGTTTTTCTTCCTGTTCTTACGTCTTGCATGGTCTTGCCTTTGCCCTTGTTGGAAGCGACAGAATCTGGGCATTTTCAATGACGCATCTTACAGAAGTCCTTTTCGATGTGCTGACCTTCCTATTGCCAAACAGGCGCCAAACCAGGGTACAAGAAACACACATAACAAAACCAAGCATTGTTCATCAAAACATATCAAAACACTGTTCATCGGTCTGCCCAAACTCTCCTTGTGGTCCTTCGTGTGCATCACGTCCAGCTGGAGGAGCGGAACTTTCAGTTCAAGACAGTATCTGACACCTGGGTCTGCCGGTCATGTGGAAAAGATCTGATACGGGATGTCCAGATCCGGGAATGACAATGACAAAGAAAGTGAATATACACTTGCGGAGTCAGCAAACTGCGAGTGCAGTGCTGTCAGTTCACCCGGGAGTCGTTACTGAGCCACTCAGAATCACTCAGCCTCAGCACATCCATCCACCCAAATGAGTACAAATTAACAAAATCATGTGTGCCGTACAGTATAGGGACCCACACTTTGATGGCATACCATGATCAAAACCGGTGATTCTGGCAACACCATCAAACCCACATGCCATCAACCTGCTTGCGGCGCACGTGTGTTTATGTACATATATATATATATATATTCGGCTGCATCATGTAAGTTTGACTCGAGACAAATCGGATCGGCCCATGCCGCATGCACCCCTGGTGCATACCTCTGCCAGGTATACGTTTCCTACCCATACCAAGTAGAGACTCCATTAAAGATAGTCAAGAGCATACTGAAAGTCAGTCCTATGACTATGTTGGAGTGGAAAATACAATAGAAACATGCAGTGACCGGCAATTATCTCCATATTGCCACTGCAAATAAAACAATGAGAAGGGCAGTGACCCGCAATTGCACCGCAATGCCACTGCCAGAGGGTATCAGCGCTCAAACATCTGGGCATTTGGCCAAGCCGACTGCTGCAAAAACGATCTGGCACTCCGCAGGCAGCTAGCTGTGAGGATAGGGACATGAATCGACTGAAAAATTTGAGCAACTAGTGGCACACGGCGGACAGCTACCACATAAAGAGAGCCTCCGTTAGGTAGACACCAAGCAGGCGATCACGAAAACCACTCAGACGCACCGCAAAAATTCCTCATCACCGACCCTGCCTACCTTGAATGAATGAATATATTCGGCTGCACCATTTAAGTTTGACTCGAAACGAATCGGATCAGCTTCGGACGAAATTCCTTTTCGCTCAAGCTTGAGAGGTCTGAGTTGAATAGTGCTTTGGTTTGTGTGACTCCGTCACAGCGGCCCATGCCGCATGCACCCCTGGTGCATACCTCTGCCAGGTATACGTTTCCAATGCACTCAAAAGAGATATCCAAAGCACTCAGAATAACTTGAAGACATGGCTTTTAATCGTGTAAGGTAGGTGGAGTAGGATCAGGGGAACTGGTACTTGGGGAACTCGAAAAGAATGCGCCTGAGACCACTCGTCATGGACCACTCGTCATGGACACCCTTTCTACTTATACCATCAAACCAACTGTCAGCAGACTGAACCCATTCAAAATAGCAGCCGCTGCGAAGAGAGTAGAGAAGAGCACTCTGGGTTGTCGCTGCGACCCCTGACGAGGGCCATCAAGGCGGCGATGTTGTCCACGAACCAGAGCCCCTGAGCGAGCCTGACTGGCCACAAAGATAAACACCACGTAGACGGTGAGTAGCTCCAACTGGCCAATCTTTGTGGGGCGCTCCGACCATAGATCGAAGAGGTGCGGTGAAACGTCAATCACGTAGGCGTCCCGTTCACCCTGAGGGCCCACGAAGAGGAGTCCTGCGGAGCCCTGACGGGGCTCATCTTGGACTGCGTCGGAAGCTGCCAAATACCTCTGTTGATGAATTGGTTGGAGTGGTAACTCTCTTTCAGGCTTGTGGGCAAGTAGAGAGCGAATCATCTCAAAAGATCGTAACAACTCATCTGTCAAGGTCGTAGCTTGCGAACACTGGCGCTCCTTCAGCGTGTTAAGGCCTGCTCGTCCTAACTTGCCAAAGCAACCTGGACCAGTGTCGAGGAAACCCAGGCACCCGAAGAGCTTTGCAGCAAGTTGTGGTGGTAGTCGACCAGTCTGGGTAGCCTCATCCATCAGATCATTGACCTTAGTCAGAAGCTGGTCACGTGCCCAAAACCGTACAGGTTGACCAAGATGACATTGGCTGACATCATGAATGAGGCCCAAAAAGTCCGACTGACTTTGCATTGCCTGATGCTTCTCTGGTTGAAACGGGGGAGCCCATCTGTGTGGCAAAACTAGTGATGAAATGCTGTACGGACCCTTAATTTCATGCTGCCCAGATCTTGCACCGTCAAGTCGTCAAAGTACATACTGGCAAAACAAAAGCCCATACGTCGGCACACTGCCTGAAAGAAACGAAGGAAACGGTTGAACGAACACACAGCGTTGGGCAAGCCAAACAGTGAACCATAGTATCGGCGGAAACGTGGCTCCTGAACATGATGGTCATAGTATGTATAACCACTGCAAGGTCCGCCTGAGTGGGAAGCATTGGCACGTGGCGGTAGGCATTGGGAAGGTCGGTCTTCCCCCCCTGAGCAGACGCCATCTAACAGGGACTCCGAATCATGCAAGGAGCTGACAGCCCGCCATAGCAACTGAACGTGTAGTCCTGGCTTAGTACACAGGTCCAACTTGTTGGAGTCGTGGCTCAGCTCACTCTGGCCGCCATCAGCCGCATCATCGATGACCCAGTGCCCCGCAGGCAGCAGAGGACGGGCCTTCGCAGCTGGCGGCTGCGGTTTCTTCTTGACGGCAACTGCCGGAGACTCCGGGCCCTTGACCGGGGACTCCCTATAGCCGGACTGGCAGGCACAGGCAGTGCCGATGGAGCAGGAGCCACCTGCTCTGGCGCAGACGGCGCCGCCGTTTTGTGGGGGAGGCGACGCCTCTTCAAGGGAGGTTCGGCGGCCGATGGTGCCAAGCGAGGCGATACATTAGGCTTAACCACAGGTGGTGGTGCCGGAGTTGAAGAAGATGGTTGTGCAAAGGCCCGCTTGCGCAATGCTCGGATGATCTTCTGCCCTGCAGTACGGATAGCCGGCAAAGAAGCCGGCAGCAGTGACTTGGCCGTGGGCATGCCTGGGATGTCATCGGAGGACAGCCGCTCGACACGCGGGTTCTCCGTCAGGAGCAACCATAGCCGCAGCCTCAGCCCAACGATCCATGGCATCAGAGCTGCGTATATCTCTTCCCACATCACCTCCAGGGTGGTAGCCATGAGAGCTGCTGCAAGCCTCTTAATTGGTGCCCCTGCTTCTGCTTTTGCAAGTCGTAGCGCAGTGGCGTCTGGGCAGTCTGCCGGCGAGTTGACATGTCGGTCCATTGACGAATGGCCAATCGTTCGGTATCCGTGAGGCGCACGATACCTGCTGTACGCCCGACCCGCCTGAAGCTGTGTGAAGTGAGTTGACTGGCATCCAAAGTACGGTCTCACGACCCGGAGAAACTGCCCAGATGGAAACTTGCACAGCGGTGTTGGCATCAAATGCAACATAGTGCCATCGTCGGAAAGCTTCGCCGTGTCTCGGTCGCACACGATCCAGGCGCCGCTTGAATGGCATAGATATCCAAACTCCCCAAGGTGCGCGGCAAAGACCAGGACCATTACGGGTTCCGGTTTTCCCTTTGTAACACAAGAAAAGCAACATTGCGGAATTCGCTCCGATGAGAAAGCTCTTTTTTGCAAATGAGAAAACCTGATGACTACGAAAACCATCGCCGCCACGGCCAGCAGGATGGACCAGTGAGTAGTACACTATGGGTTGAGTTCAGTTCTTGAACCAAATCTTAAAAAGCATTGACCCTGAGACGCGGAACCCGACGCGCGGAACCCGCGCAGAACATCAAAACAGAACTTTTACTTGGGAACCCTTACTTGGGAACCTTTACTTGGGAACCTGTACCCTGTCGTTTTCAGGTTCCATCTTATTAATCTTCCCGGGTGTAGGACATTTATGTGTCAATTTGTATGTAGTTATGGGGTTGCAGTGTGCTCTGCCAGATCAAAGGGTCTCCCTTACCCTTAAAAAAACGTCATTAGAGCGGTTCTTTGACGTCTGACTAACTAACAACTAAAGATTTGAGAGGTGATGTCATTGGGCCATGTCGTGTGGCTTGGCAAGGCCTCAGTGGCAAGCGCACCGACGCTAGCTCCAAGCTCCTAATCCTCCACCTCCGCACCCGCAGTCTCCACCTCCCAGCTCCAACGCTTCAGCTCCAATTTCGCTTCAGCTCGGTCCTGTCCTGTCCTGTCCTTTCCTCTCCTCTCCTCTCCTCAATCCTCTCCCCTCTTCATGCATCCTTGTCAGGATGTGCGACAGCAATGCATGGCAAATTGCCCGCTGACTTTGCGGAATTTGGAACCATCGTGTGGAATTCGGATTGATGGTGCCCAACTGTCCGAATCTGTCCTCGAACCCCAAAGAGCCAAAAGTTTGGACGCTTGGCCGTTGATTACCTGGTCTGAATCACCGGTGAAACGAGGAAACGAACCACGGCAAATCGTCCAAACTTTCAAGAACAACATGAAATCGGGTGGAACTATGGAGGTTCAATTGCGCTTAAGACAAAGACCGAGTTTTGAACATAGCACCGTGCGCATTACCAACATCATGCGCATCACGTGCATTACCATCATCATGCGCATTACCAGCATCATAGCAATCAATGGTTTTCTGTCATTTTCTCAACCAAGTGTTCTTTTCACCCCCGAAACTCACAGTGAAAGAATAACTGTACTTGACATGACACTCTGAAAGTGTATCTCACTGCGCTCCTCATCCACATCATGGCGACCAGCTTCAGCCAAAAGATCTTGATACCCTGCCAGCACGGTGGTTTTGTTGTGTTCCACACCCGTAGGCAAATGAAAGCATCTGACACGGCGAAAGTCACCACTGTTGATCGACCGGAGGGCCACTTTGGGCTCAAGGCCATTGATTTCAATCCGAAGTGTCATGACCCAAGGTTTGCATTTCGATACGTCATTCCGAACATGCCAGCACTTGCGTCGCGCGGACGCGCGGAACCTGACGCGCGGAACCCGCGCGGAACATCAAAACAGATGGCAAAACAGAACCTTTACTTGGGAGCCTGTCTGTACTTGGGAACCCCTACTTGGGAACCTTTACTTGGGAACCTTTGCTTGGGAACCTTTACTTGGGAACCTGTACTTGGGAACCTTGGCTTGGGAGCTTTTACTTGGGGGTTCCATTTACTCATTTTCCTTCTACTCTTTTCACACGCCATCACTTGCGTCGCGCGGAGCCCGCGCGAAACCTGACGCGCGGAACCCGACGCGCGGAACCCTGACGCGCGGAACATCAAAACAGAACCCATTCAGATTGAAAAGCATTTGTCACTTTTTAATACTCTTTTTTGGTTCTTGCAAATGCTGTTTGCGCTTGCTTTACTACAAGATGCTACAAGAGTTTGAAGAAGGTGGTCTTCTCAAAAACACATTTTAAAAAACTGACAGGCACCATACTTCGGATAGAAAGTAGAACACTGATATACAACTGCAATCACATCATGTAGCATGTCTCCTTCATGATAAACTTTTCAACTGACACTTCGGAAGCTGCATTAATATATCCAACCAATCGCCCTTCAAACACACAACTGCAGGAAAACATGTGCGTCTCCTCTCAGAACGCCAGTGCGTAAAGACTGTGAAGACTGCCCGCGTTTCCAATTCTTCGGGCCAATTGGACGTGGGCAAGTATGAGTAAATGCCCGGGTGTTGTTGCAAGGTCCTAGATTGTACGTTCACGCTTTGGTCTCAAAATGTATTGATTCAAGTGATGTTCTACTACTGCTTATTATGTTCAAGAATCTCAACTCCAGTTACTCTCAAAGGTTGGGTGTGACATCTGCGCCGAGAGAATGAGAAACAGTTTCACACATTGTTATAAGTCAAATGCGAAAAATGTTGATGGCAAACTTTCATGAAGATGCCTAGCTGCCCAGCTTCGAACCAATATCACATTGCAGGAAATGAAAGCGCCAGTTCCCGCAACCCTACAAGATGTGCGATTGCATGCGATTGGAATGGGACGTCACTCACGTCCCTTAAGCAAAATATAGTGGCATGTTTGGGGACACTGGGACCAAGGAGGTCATACGGCACTACGACTAAGGACCCCCCCAACACAACTAATAAGGTTTCGGTGGTTGGGAGTTGGGAGTGGGCGCTAGGTTCCTACCGTCTCAGTATTTGGAGCAGGGCCTCAGGGTGGTTTGGATCCATGTGACATGCGTGTGATACTGTGTGTGTGTATCACAAGCGGATCATCAGACTAGATTCCACCATTTCAGTTCCACCAGCCAAAAATCTCCTCAGTGAGTGCTTGTTGGAGTTGGCTTGCCTTGGACATGCAGGCACAACACGCATGCTTCTTGCACAGTGATGAGTGATGAGTTTGCCCTCCGTCCGTTCACACAAAATGTGAGGTGTCCCCCCGCACCTTCCTACAGTATGTTCATTTTCCACCAAAAACGGTCATGGCGTGACATGTCATGACAATGTCACGTAGATATTTTGGTGCCCTGGCCCCACCCAGCTCCAACGTTGGCACTTTGCAGCGTTTGCGGCCACAATCATCGCAACAGTCACGATCCGACGCACATCAAACGCCCAAGGCATTGCGCTGTTGAAAAACAACTATGGATTATGGATGTGGCAGTTGATGCGTCCCAGCCGAGCCCGGCATGCATATGTGATGCACGCTGTTCAAAATCACAGTCATTTGACTGTCACCATGATCTCCAACTTCTCTGGTCCATCTGCTTCAGCAGCTGGGAAGCCTTCACCATCTCTGAGGTGTCTGTGGCAAAAAGGTGCTGGGACATGCAATCCAAGCTCTTGTAGTACTGCCACGACAACCTGAGTCAGTCCAAAACTTCAATCTACCATGATTTTTGGGGTGTGGTGTGATCTCGTTCGCCATTCAAATTCCTGTATCGGCTTTGGTGCTCTGGCATCGCCACTAGGAACAAGGACGCTACTAGGGGCTCCTGGCATCACTAGTAGGAGCAAGGATATACTAAAAAGCTCAAAAAAATCCGCCGGCCCTGGGGCACGGCGTGTTTTAGGTAGTTGTTTTTTTGTTAGTTCTTTGTTAAGCTATGTCTTGTCTGTTTTAGTGCCCCCCCCCTCCCCCCCTCCCCCCCACCCCTCCCTCCCCCCGTGTAAGTATTGGTGTTTGCGCTGTCTCTTTTTTGTACTTTTTGGTTTCCATGTCATATGTTGCTTTGTCTTTCTTTTGTGAGGACATGCCTTTCTGAGAGCTCTCGAAGATTGAAAGAAGCCCCCTAGCTTTGCCGTGCAGTGTAAATAAGTAGTAAGTAGAAAGTAGGGAGCAGGGAGTAGTGAGTAGTAGGTAGCATGCCATGTGTACAGCACAGAGCAGACCTTTTACCTACTGCTGTGTCAGCCTTGCACCCTTATCTGCATAAATGTCACTGCTTCTCCGGATTGGCTGCATGTGACCACATCCAGTTTGACTTCTACTCTTGCAGTCACCCCTTCTTGGCCAACGTCCCACCGCTGCACCGCACTCACACCCACTAAGTTGGCTTTCTCGCTGCGGCCAAAAGGGCGGGCGGAACAATCCGCAGGTGTAAATATGTCTTGAAGCTTACTAGTAACTAGAAGCGTCCTTGGGAATCGTTTCACTGGGAATCGTTTCACCTGTAGTAACTAGAAGCTTCCTAGACTGTCTTAGAAGCTTTGTATCCTTTTCAGACCTTAGGACTTCGTATCATGGCACATGACTGTCTTTGTTTTCTTTGTATGCTTATATAGAAGGACAAAAATCCTTCCAATATCTTATACAAAAATTTTTCCCAGCACTGAACAAATCTGAGCCATTCTGAGCCAAAAACAAACGCTGTCAAAATGGATCAAGCCATGGCCGAAGCCAAGCTCGGCTGCCCCCTGGGACAGCACACTACGTTGAAACCAGGGCTGGTGGCCAAAAAGGCAACGGGGTGCGGCAATGGGGCTGGCAAATGGCCAGACTGCTCCAAACGTGCAAGTGAAATATATTTCAGAAATTCTTTCACGTACCCTCCCTAAATTTCAGGGCCAAAGGGGTAGCTATATAATATTCCAGCACTCCCAGTAAATGCGTGACCATCCCTGGTTCAAGGGCGGCCGCCTGCGCTTGGCGTTGCCCCAGGCGAGTGCTGCGGACCGGTGCTGGTCGGGATGTCTCGCCCAAATCCAATGGGACCCGCACATTCCGGATCTCCCAGCCCAAGGAGGACAAAAATCCCGTGTGGGGCCATGGTGCTCTCGAACGAAAGTAGCCAGAGCATGAGGGTCAGGGAATTTGATGCCCAGGTGGTCCACGTACCTGACCAGATCCTTCCAGGTGTGCACCACCCGCTTGACAGTAGCGGCCTCCGTCTTGGCGCAGAGCCTTTCCAGCCGGGTACCCCAATTGGTCAAATATTCTTGGTGACGAGCCGGAGAGGAGGCATCAGCGTCACCATCATGCCAAGCAGGTCCCTGATGAACAAGGAGGCGACCCCTTCCTGTTGCGCCAGACGGGCGCTGCGGGGCACGCTTGGGTTTGACCGGCCCGGAAAACGAAGTGGGAGTAGGGCTTGAGATGGCTGCGGCGGCCGGGATTGGCTCTGAAAAAGCCCACGCAACAACGCGGCCATGCCAGGCTCACTCTCGCGTCGAGCCAACTCCCAGCCGTCAGCCACGGCACGCCAGATCGCTGGGGGTTTCAATCCCAGCCGCGGCGCACCACACATTGAAGCGCTCCTGTTCGACAGCACGTCGAGTGCGCTCATCAGCCATGGCGACAGCCGCAAAGAAATTTGAAGAACCAGCGACACGGGGTTCTTCAGGAGCGTCACTCCTTTGTGCTTTTGGCTTAAGCCTCAAGACACAGGAGTGAACTTAAAATGCATGACATCAAATAATTCCTCATCACCGACCCTGCCTACCTGGAATGAATGAATGAATATATTCGGCTGCATCATTTAAGTTTGGCTCGAGACGAATCGGATCAGCTTCGGATCAGTCTTCGCGCTGCGCCAATCGCCCGAGGCCGCGTGGGCTGCGCCGAGAGGCTTTCGATTGTGTTCTCCGGCGCCTCTCCCGCGCCACAGCGGTGGGCCACCAGGCGAGGCCGGCGAGGCGAGCAGGTGTCGAGCAAACGAGCAGCAGCGAGAGCCATGGGGGGCCAGACACGCGGGTCAAGGCACGGCACAGAAAGAGGTGGAAAGAGGTGGGACGTCTGTGAAGAAGTGGGCTTGTTGGTTCACACGTCTGTAAGCACGGTGAAGCACGGTGAAGGGTGTGGGACTGGTGTAGGAGTTTGGCTGTCTATACTTCAAGACATGAAAGATCCAAAGAGACCGTTTCGCAGTGGCCCAGCTGAAAGCTAAATTTTGCTGAAGCCCAGCATCTGTTTGTGATCCCCCTTTGATGTCCCATGGCGGATTAGCTTGGACCAAGTGGCTGCTGTGTGAGTTTGGGGATGTCCTCTCCACACTGGGTTTGGTATGTTTTTCCTCAGTCCTGACAAAGGGATCAGTCACCTGGGGCGCCAAGTGCTGGGGGCGCCCAGTGCCAGTCACATTCAAACACTCCGACATTTGGAGACCATTTTCCGCGACGAGCACTGCAGGTTGGCAGTGTGAAACGCAATGTTTATCTCATGGCGCCATGCATGCAGCTTGATGTTGTGAAAAAAATATTGAAGTCTTTAGTGCTTTGATGTGCAAGGTAGCTACCCTGTCCTCTCGTCCATATAGCGACTGCACATTTGGGCTCAGTGTTTGCAGCTGCAAGCATTCTTCGCAGCACATGCATCAATTTCCGGACACTCTCGGTCCATTCCTTGGCGAAGCACTTCTCCAAGGATCACTTGCAAGATCTTGCAGGACGAGCTCAAGGGCATTCAAGGGCCCCTAAGTCCAACCTTGACACCAGAAGTCTATCACCCAAAAGTCTATCACCCACCATGGGCATCCATGGGCATTCCCCCCGCTCTCAGGAAAAAAGAAACCTGAGCTGCAAGCTTCATCAAGCTTTCTGCCCATGTCTCTGCCCATGTCTCGCTCCATCTTCCGAGCTCCATTCTCATACCATTTGCATCCTGATCATGGTGTCTTCTCCCCTTGTTGCCTGCTTCGATCTGCTTCGATCACACAGCTCTTCCCCACAGCTCGACGTCCGCATGCGTCCGCCCGCTCAGGCGCGTGAGAGAACGGAGGCGGGCCGGACTCCTAGAAAAAGAAAGGGGTGGAAAACGATGTTTTTGGAGCGGGGACATTGGGAAAACAGTAAGCAACAGTGAAGACTAAGTGGTGCTTAGGAATCAGGGAATGGATATGAATGGATGCATATATGGATGCTAAGGTATCTACCTAGTCTTAGTCTATGGTGAGGGTCATTCCCTGGTTCTCTACTAATAAGCAGTGCTAAGCACCACAGTCTGATCATGTGGAGCCATCTATGGTGATAGAAACTGCGCAATGCAGCCCTTCAAGATTGGCCAGGGTATGCCCCAAACTTGTCTGAAACAGCTTGAAGCAACCATGCCCTTCTCTGACAGAAAGCTGATGTTCTATGCATGAATTTGCGTCACTACATTGCAAAAAGTGGATGCAATGTGAATTTGGGAATGCCACAAACATGGAGTCGACTCGCATCCACAACTTCCCCCAAGCTAGGACATCCAGGGAAATCCAGTTCTCCCCACAAAAATCCTGCCAGTGAGGTCAAGCTGCTTCTCCCCCCATCCCATCGAGTCGGCCCGAAACGCCCGAGCCCGAAGATCCTCCGCGCCGGAGCTGCGTGGCCCTCATCTCCGCTCGGGCATCTGCCTGCGGATGGTGCGACGGGTGCAAATATCTTCAAGCTGAACACCCTTGTTGGAATAAGAAATCAATGCATGTCGGACGACACACAAAAAGAAAAGACGCACACACCGAACAAGATAAGACATGGAAGTGGTTGTGGAACATCTATGAACGTCTCATGCTTGTAGAAACACCATGAAACACCCAACATGATCAACATGAGAGCCATATACTTACCCTGACATACCTGACTCTATTCAAAACAAATGGAAGTGGAAACCCCATGTTAGTAGGGGAAATGGCTTTCACACGCGAAGTTTTCCCATCTTTTGAACATGAGCACCAAGAGACGACGTCTCCAGCCAATGACGAGACCCCAAGTGCAAGTTTTGCGACAACGATTGGAGTGTAATTGGTACCCTCCACTTGGTGTCACAAGATGGTTGGCCCCTCCGCTTTGCACCAACGAGTCATCCCTCTCTCAGCCCACCGCCCCTCCCGAAAACCAACTCTGAGGAAGGCACGGACGAAATCCTCGGTTTTGGCGCTTACAACGGTTTGCGTGAATTGCACCCTCCAAAAACAGCCGCAGGCGCAGGCAAACCAGTTAGCATTCTATGAAACCTATGCTTACAACCGTTCGCTGAATGACAATTCCATACACCTCAAAAACCTGGCCTCACCGCGCTCATATCATCTCCTTTCAACAGAACTCTGGAGGCGACTTCTGAGAAGGTTGCAGCTGAAACTCTTCAAATGCCTAAACGAGTTGGGAACCATGAATGAGACTAAAGTCTGGCACATGACTTGGACCATACTTCACAATAACATATTTAAAAGGGAATAAATCAGAACCTGGGCAAAATCTCTATATCTTCAATGTTTTCTCGGAGCAATCGGGACTAGTTGTGAAACGCATCATACATCATGCTGCAAGAACGCGCGCACTACCTGAAATATGCTGATGAAGTCCATGCCGTGCAGCCTCCCGTTTTACACAATTGCCATGCTCAATGGCGGAAAAAAACAACAAACTTATGTACCGACACCTGCACCATCATTCGCAAACTTATGAGCACGCTCCAGCCTTTGCGCGTACCCCTCAAATTAAATGTGCCCCGGGATGACTAATCTGTGCACCAGGCTGGTGTTGACAGCAATCTTGAAAAACAGCCCTCCTCATTCCCAAAGATTCCCAAAGCTCAAAGGAGCCTTGCCCATTTTGACCCAAAGATACCTCCAAAATTGGCTCCAAATAGGTTCTTAGATGTTCTGAGCCCAGAGCTTCTCAGGAGGTTCTTGGAGCGTCTTAACCCTAAACCCTAATTCACCCGTGCGGAGTGGCCGCTTCGTCCAAGCGTCGCATCTGCAGAGCGCCTGCGTCGCTGATCCAAGTCCAGTCGGCCGATGGGCCTCGGGTTACGCGGCGATGACGATGACCGCCATCCGCTACAATCGGCGAAGATAGGATCCGCGCAGATAGGATCGAGCACCAAACGCGGATGGCAAGTAAGTTTAGCAGTTCTTCAACTCTTGGCGATTGGATGGGCAGTGGTGATTGCTTCAAGTGGTGGCGTGGCTGGGACTAATTGCTTGTGACTGTGCCATGTAGGAAGGATGCCCCCGGCTCCAGATCGGTCCCTCCTGAGCTCGCTTTGAGGGTCAGCTCAAGCATTCTCACCAAGGCCTTCTTCACCAAGGCCTCCTGCTCACCAAACCCTCCAGTCTACATATCTCTGCACCTCTGCATCCATAATCATGCCAAGGCCCAACGTGAGCAAAACACATTTTTCGTTTTCAAACCAGCCTCCTTGACTTGGAGTAAGCCTCGCATTGAACCCAAATCCGCCACCAGTTGGCTTCAAGGCAGCAAAACTGCAAGATCACAGTGCAGTTGCTGTGCAACACAATAGGTTGGCAGCCTATTCAGGCCAGCTACACTCATGCCAAATGGGCGTGCCCGTGGTTGTTGCGTTCTTCGCGCCCACTTCTCCTGTTTTACCAACTTCTCCCTTCCTCTGCCGACCTGACCGAGCCGCGCCCACCCCGGCGCGAGGTCGGAAGGAAACGGGCGTCCGGACCCCACGAAAGTCGGGCAATAGGCCTTCTGAATCAGTACCTGACAGGAAACTGGAGCTTTCACTCCCAGAAGCAGCCAAGCGCCGAATGGAGTTGAGGTGCAGGGAGTGAGGTTTACTTCGGGGGGGTTGTGCAAAGCGAACTCACTAGTCACTGGTTACCAGCCCAGTGGCAAGTGACACGTGATGATATGTAACATATGTATAACATTCGAACATTGTATACCTATGTAAAATTGACAAATCCAAGCAAATCCCAACACACAGGAAGATCACGAACGATGAAGCCTTGTATGATGACCATGTGCCATACATGGCCTAGCTTGCCAAGAAACTTATGTAGTCATAGTCTTGCCCATGAGCTTGCTGCCTTGTGATGCACTTGACGTGCTTTCTGGAAGTGAACCTACGTACTATATCTATCTTATCTCTCCCTCTCTCTCTCTCTATATATATATATCATTTGGAGGAGAAACGTTGTGAAGCAAACATAGAAGGAAACCCATGTCTTTGTTGTTGTTGTTGGTCTATCTTACAAAGGCGTGGTTGGTGTCATTCGCATCACCTTGCAGAAGCATCGTGTTTTTTCCAACTCGCGCGAAGAATCTCATCCTCCCGCCCTCAGACCCCTCAAATGGCTTGGATTTGTGGGTCCAAACAAAATCACATCTTTCTCAGCCTGGTTTTGACCGAACTTGATCCCCTCAATTCACAAACAGTAAGGCCTCAAACGTCATGAACTGACAGAAGAACCGGGAGAAGGGAATTTATCCTGATTCACCTTAATCGTAGCCGTAACCAAAAACCTATCGGGTCACCCGTGCGTCGTGCGCGGACCGTTATCTGCATCGGATTCAGCGTCGTGCGGGCCGAACCTGAAAGACCGGCTTGGGAGGTTCAAATTTTTCATGGCCCCCCAAAAGAGGGAGCATATCTGAGCTATTGAATCTCATATGTTTGTAATATTTTTCTCTCTCTCTCTCTCTCTCTCCCCGGCTCTCCCCATCGCCCTCTGGAGATTAGCCTTTTCATATTTGTCTGACCATGCAGTATTTGTTGTTGTTGAGTACTTGTAAGCATGTATTGAAACAACCACCTGGACGTCCACACTCACCAGAAAAAAGAACTTCTGACACTTCAATGAACATCTTTCAAAAATCACCTCACATCTCAAAAGCCTCGAAACCACCGCTTCTCCTCGCCCCAAGTGTTCCAGTCACCGTATCGGGTGGATACTCCACCCGGCCTCCGGAGAGCAGTTGGGCTGCCACTCCTGAGATCTCGACTCCTCCGACCCCACCCCGGGTGACATGAACACCATAGTTCAGCCAGGGGTGGACGAATGTTTCTGACACTCAAAAAGTGGACATATGAAGACCGGCCCCTTCGGAAGACCAACCAGGAAGGCACGTCCATGTGAGCGAGCGGAGGTGTATCAGGCCAGCGAAGGTTGGCTGACCCTTTTAAATAGAGAGCTCGTCACTGTGAGCATGCTTTTTTTTTTAATAAAATTCATTTATATTCAATACCGCAAAAAATATGTATCATTCGCTGGTGGTAACGTGTTCTGTTTTAATATTGAACCCCTACCGAGTTCACCAGTTGCCCCTTGGAGAGGCCCACGATCGAAACGCAGGCACGACCAAACCAATCGGTGCACGTAAGGACGACATGAAAACAGCTCAGATCGTGGGAACACTCGAAGTCATGTACCATCATGTACCCATAGCTGTTCACAAACTAGCTGTCCGTCTTGTATCTTGGTTGTTCATGGTCTTTCAATGTCTTTCACACTTTCTCGTGCAGCCATCGGTTGGCAAAGTCAGGTTCAACTATAACTTAGAGATAAAATCCACATGAACACGTCATATCCTTTCATTCTATGTCCAATCTTCAAGCACTTCTTGTGATTCAGTCCAATTCTTGCTGCTCATGTGCAAACCAAGTTCTGGAAAGTCCAAAGGATGGACGGCCAAAGAAAGGTGCAACGGCTGCTGTCTTCGCAAATGAGCAGATTATGTATAGTGGTTTCAGAATAGATGGCAACATGCCGAAAGGTGCTTTATATGGATACAGTATATGGATCCCTATCTGATCTATCAGTCTAAGACATCTTTGTGTTTGCGCCTACTCGGAAACCACTGTGGTTGCGCTCAGGTATACATTGTGTAAACATCTGCAGTTTTGGGGTCCGCACAACGTCTCCGGATGGATGTTTCGATTCGCGGTGTTTGCCACAGCTCTGCGTGAACACGACAACGCCGAAGAACATGTTCTACTACATGACACACATGAGAATCTACATTTTGCAGACACGACACATGGGACTGCCATATATGCCGATCAAGTGTTCCCCCTGGCACCACCCCAGCTGATCGGCATATATGGCAGTCCCATGGAGTGTCTGGGATTGGGGATTGTGCTGGCATAAGTCTGGGAAATGGCTGGGAGATATCTCAAGATTCTCAAGGACCCTTGGGAAGAGAACAACATAGAACCAGCATGACTAGAAACGACTAGTGGATTGGGGAGTCTCCCCCTTCTAGATTCTTCCAAGTAAACACATGTACCTCTCCCACCCGAAATCGGATCAAAATCACCGGACCAATGACACGGACCGAGAACAGTCACCTGCATCATGTGGATCAAATCGTCTTGGGACTTCACTTGCCTCAGATATTTCACTGGCGATCTCAACCGGCAGCCGATCTCTCGGGTTGAGGAGATGCTTGAGACAGGTTGAGACATGAGGAGATGCTACTTGCATCTACGTATCTGGTTTGGAGCTGTGCATTAAATCACTAGGCATCTCCAAGACGCGAATCTGTCGAACTTGCTGCAGTTGCCCCATGTTGTGTTCGGGGTTGGTATACCAATTGCGTGAGGGATGTTGAGGCTGCTGTCACATCTGTTCAACATGAGCTTTGTTATTGCAGGCATGAAGCCAAATCTCGTAGCATGTCGAGCTATGTCCAGCTTTCACTTGCAAAAATGTCTTGGAACAACCTGTGCCCTCATGCTGCTACCTCCAAAATCACTCATCCTCCAAAATCACTCTGCCCTCGTCCTGATGCAACACTTACTCTCATCAAGAGACCCCTGGAAGCAGGCGCAACACGACCAGCATCGGTCTCAAACTACACAGGGTACACTCTGACTCACTAACATGGAAGTGGATGGCATGGTCCCTTGGAAGACTACTTTCCTTTACGAACAGGGGGAACTCGCCACTTCCATGTGATGTGTTCGTCGGAGTGTATATCTTTCATCCTCACTCCGGTGGGTGGAGCTTCCCATGGAGAGATCACACGACCGGTTCTTCGGATGACCGCTGCGAGGAGGTCGGTGCTGGTCAGGGGCTTCTCAGGTTCTCAGGGGCTCCGGCAGAATGGCCTTCTGATGTAAGGCAAACCTCGGAGGGGAGGGGCGTTTTGGTCCAAGGCGTTGACTCTGTCGGACTTCAACATGGGAGGTGCAGAGTTTGCCCTGTTGCAAGACTCCTCACTTCTCGTGCTTTCACGTGTTTTTGGGATTCACTTCCAGGAGTCCACGGCTTTGGATTTCGGGGACGGACCAGGTCGTGAATGGGAATGTGGCCACAGCTCGCCAGAATGAAGCGCCTCAGGTTTGGACCTCACAAATGAAGCGCCTCGTCACCCCCGGAACCGTTTGCCTTTCAATGATTTGAGAGGGAACCCATTGCCCTTCAATGACACCCCATGGGACTGCCATATATGCCGATCAGGTGGGGTAGTTTGGGGGGTCAATGTAGGCATAATATGAATATGGTTTACATGGAGTGTCTGGGATTGCTTTCAATTCCACACCACTAGTTCTTGTCCGCCGGTTGCGAAGTCTTCCACGCAACGACTCAACTGGCAAACTAGTCCGAAGTAAGGAATGAGGTTTCCACGAGCTCCTTACTTGAGATTCCTTGATCGAGCCATTCCCTACATTTCCCCGACGCGTCGTAGCCCTCCCATCGGTCGCTGGATGGTGTTTTGTCCACACATGTGACGGCGCACTGCGGCGCGCCGTCAAAGCGTCGGAGCGTTGGTGACACCCGTCATGACACGTCGGGATGGGCACCTGGTGGTGAAAAGGAGTCCAAACAAATCTAACCTGATGAGTCACACACTCCTAAAAATCATGTTGGAGACAAGGGGTTTGATTCATCCTGTCTACATTACTCTGGTCCAAGTTGGATCCTTGTTCGCTTTTTTGATCCTTTTTGTATCATTTAAAGCAAGCGAAAACACGAGGAGATGAAGACTCCAATCCCAGGTTTGGCGGTTCCGGCCGCGCCCATCACGTCACCAACACCCGACATCCTGATTTTTTGTACAAGGACCCGTCCTGGAAGACGGCGGCCCTCTAGCCACTTTCAGCAGTGGGCCACGGTTTGAACGGAGAGTCAGCCATCAAAAGGACATGACACGATGGAGTTGCCTAAGAACCCCGAAAAAAACTGTACATTCCAAGCTTGGAACATTTGGAAACAGCTGAGTTCGCCAAAAGATGCCTGCTCTAAGACAAACTTCCGCTTCAGCTCATATGAAGTCCCAAACCTTCCGCATCCTTCAGCCCACTGACCTCGAACGTCGCCTTTGACCTTGAACCGGCCTGCCCGGTCCGGTCCGTCGCAAGGAGGACAGTGGTGCCATGGTGATGATGCCAGGGCAGTCAACATCACACTGCACCTGTGCCCAAGCACCAGGTAGAAGCGTTTGCAAGGTCCCGCTGAACCAAGTCCCTTCAAATTCGACCTGCGACGCGTTCGTTGGGAAGGCTCGCCGTGAGCTCGGTGGTCTTGCAACCGGTGAAGACCCCCAAGGGCATCGAAAGAAAGAAGTCAAAGGATGCTAAACCCTCCATGGATGGAATAGTTACATAGTTGCATGCATACACAATCATTTGTGAATATGTATGACTCTATGACTCAATGACTCGTAATGGAAATAACATGAAATAACTAAGGTAGTAACTATATATATATATTACATTCAAGATGATTCCAGGATTGTTTTTGGGGTGATGCTTTTAACATATTTTAGACCAAAGCCCTGTCGACCTTCGGTTTCATGGTCCGCGCACTATTTTTTTTTGAAGTTATTTTCGTGTTATGTAGACTCTTGATTAATCAACCCCCCTCGCACATAATCAGGGTCTTACAATCCCCGCGTAAGGGGGGTTCTTAATCAAATAATATTCAAATAATCAACCTAGCACTGTCTGGGTGCCCTGTCTGGAGACCTATTAACGTAGAGTAGGGTTGTCCATTGCTGACCCCCCTTTTTAAGCAGCTGGAAGGCCAAACGTCCTCACATCACCACCGCACCTCCACTCGTTCGCCTCGGGCCACTTGGAGTCGCCTGAAATGCCTTTCGACATCGAATGGGGGGCGCCCCACACCTGGCTCCGGCCAGCGTGCCACCACCATGGCGGTGGAGGCGCTGCCTGGTTCTCGGTGTCGGTGGACGAGAAACATGGCCGGTGAAGGCGCTGCCTGGTTCTTGGTGTCTGAAGTCATCTCTACAGACAAGAGTTCCTGGGATTGGGTCCAACTTCTGGTCCTCAAAAGCTCCCTTTGTTCATCCCTTTTCTTTGCTGATCTGGATGCCAGGATTCAGGGTGAAAGACCAAAATGAAAACAAAAAGGTCAAAAAGGACGATTCATGAGAATTCATCAATTCATCCAGGTTTCCCAAGTGCTCTGCAGCTTCTGGAGTTCTTTCTCTACTTGATCTATTTCTGCAGCTTCTACTTCATCACCTCTTCGGGATCCGCAGTCTCGGCCGAGACCACGCGTTTTGCATGTCAGCCGCGCCAGCAGTCCAAAGACCTCCTCCTGAAGCTCCCTGGGCACGGATAACCTGAGAGCAACACTTGGACATCACATCCCTGAGAGCAACAGTCGATTAGTGAGCCAATGACATGATATGAGGATCTGTCCCTGCTCAACATATACCCGGGTTCCAAGACCTACATGGAACCGGGCGTGGCCCGGCATGGACCAAACTGGAAGACGAGGTTCCTTTGCAAACCGGGCGTGGTGAACTCAGGTTCCAGGGAATCTTCCAGAATGCATTTGGCTTGACTTCATGGGGGCCATGGGGTGTGTGGAAGTTCTGGTCCAACATTCTCCATGATTCTCCCACTTTAATCATTTTAGAAGGAAGGGACTGCCAGAAAGTAGGACACCTGCGCAAAAGAAAAGCTGCCGATGACTTCTGCCCTGGTCACCTCATACCGTCCAGTAGTGGCCAGCTGACCATGTGCCGAAGCCGTACCAGTCGACCGCGGATGTGAAGCTCAGCATCGCACTCAAAGGCCATGGGTTGTTCCAAGTTCACCGCTTTCACAAGCCAATCGAAAAGGCAGCGTAGCTGATGAAATTGAGCGGACAAACCTCCATGTCCAGCCCTGATCTTCTCCGGCACCACGGAATCATCCGCGCCCAAAGCATGAAGTTGAAGTCGAAGTTCTTGGGATAGAAACTGCAACTGGGCAAGTTCTGTTCGAAGCCTCTGAACTTCACTACGCTTTGCCTCAAGCGCTGTAGCTTGAATCGAAGCGCTGGTCAGTAGCTGGGTCATGGGTGTCGAGAAATCTGGAGCCAAGCTGCAGGAGAAAACCTCTTTTTCCGGATGTGCTTTCCCAAAAATGCCGGTAGTGGTCGTGGATGTTGCGGGGTGTTGGTCCGGTGTTGGAAGACATGCGAAACCAATGATCCGGTCCAAGGTGCTGGATCCACGATATGCTCGTGGCCCTCTAAGCCCTAGGGCTCCAGCCGTACCTTCGTTAGATCGAACTGGGGTGGGTGCCAAGAGGGTCCAAATACCTTCTGAGGAGGTACTTGGAGCTCTAGGGAAGTTTAATTCAGTTTCTCTCTATTGAAAGTCGGTGGCATTTGTGATCCAAGGGAGTAGCTTCCCTTAGGACCCTAGGCACATCGGATTCTTTTATGGCTTTTATATAAGCACAATGGGTTCAAGAAGTGCACTCCCCAGAACCATCATGGAAGTGGACAAATGAACATGGCCCCTTGGAAGACCATGTTCCTCTGCAAAACGGGTAGATGATCAGTTTGACGGTCTGACCACGTCCAGAAGTTCGGCGGTCGGACGGTCTGGACAAAACAAGGAAGCTGCTGGAATACACGAAAGCAACTCGACATTTGGTAGTCAAAGCGATTCAATGTTCGGTCAGTGCAAAGCACATGCGAAAGCTCATGTGCACACGGTTGCAGAATTGACTTCCGTCAAGCACCACCCATCCAATTTCCTCAGGCTGCCACAACGAAAGTGAAACTCGGAAAACAGCCTCACAAACGCGCCATGTGGGCTGAGTGGGTGGTTGTCCTGTCGGTAGTACCTCGGTGTGGGTGTCCTGTTAGCACCTGGTGGTCAATGACCTCAAAAGCCTCGATGACGACGTCACGTTGTGTGCTATGCTTTTGGAAGTCTGATGAGTCTGATGGACCTCGATGGATGCGACATGATGTGATGCTGCAGTGGAACAAGGCCACATGCCACATGGCTGCTACTCTAAGGGCCTTTGGGCACATATGATCAGCTGATGCTTTCAAGACCAGAGTCAGAAACTCTCCGCGGTTTTGGCCTGTGCAGACTCAGTGGGGATATGTAGAACATAAATTGTCTGGGAGGCATCGTGGATAGAATATGATAGAATGATGTTAGAATTGATAGAATGCTGAATGATGTGTCCACCACCACATTCCCGAATTCTGTTTGGACCTTTCAAGGCATTGTTTGACCCACATCACTTTGCAATAAACATCCTCAAACATCTCTCAACAGGAGGCTTTAAGGACTTGAGGATGGCGAAAGAAGGCCTTCAGGACGTCATCACTTCTTCATGCTTCTTCATGCTGCTCCCAGAAAAAAGGCCATTGCCTCAAACAGCTCCTGCCGCCAAACAGCTCCCAGACACAGCGCTTCTCTTCTGCCTCCGCGGCTCGCTTCGCTACAAACGTCCCGATCCACACCGCCTCGATCCCATCCACCAAGAGCACGTCCCACACGCGGCGCAAGACCTGCCGATCCGTGCGGCGTGCATTGGATTGTATAGATGAAGAACCACCTCCTGGGAAGGTGGGACTGGGGTGGGTATAAGGGGGGGTCTAACCACCGAACCTGGAGGGTATGGTTGGAGGTGTAGGAGATGTAGACTCAATTGATGAAGAACACCTCCCCCTATTTGGATGCGCTCACTTGCGGTTCAGAGACGCTTCTACGTTACCCCTTGCTGTGTTTTACAGCGGGTGTAAGTAGAGTAGGTCAGAAGAACGAACGTCACCTGTACAACAACCAAAACACGAAAAAGGAATCTACGGCACGAAAGAACGGCAACAGTGGGATGGCAAACCCACGGTGAACAAGGACGAATGTTGTGCAATCTCACCAAGTGCTAATTTGAGGAATTAAGTCGGAATTAGGCATCTAATTAAAGGGTGAACGGACAGAGTCAAGTGGTTTGTTTCGGAACAGGGCCTTCCGTACATTTTGGATATATTTTTCTTGCTTTTCGGGGGGCACCTCATCCCACGTAGGCCAAGGTCGAATGGGCAAGTCCTCAGGGAGTGTAGGTAACAGGATTTCTGTATGGTATGGTGGATCGTGTGGCATGTGCATTAACATATCTTCGATGAATTTATAAGTAGCTTCACTATTGGGCAGGGAAGGTCTCCGCGAGATTCCACCTTCATGGTATGAAGTAAATCCAAGTCTAGTAAGGCAACGAAGGCAAGATATTCCCTGATTATAGACTGGGATTAGTTTAGTACGCGAGAACGTCTGGATATGTTTGATAATCCATCGAAAGTTGCAAGCACTCGGAGGGATCGTGCTTTGACCGGCAAGATTTGCACCTTGGGATCGGAGCTAGCTCGGTCCAAGAGATGCAATAATCGTTGGGGGTGGTCGGCTGTGCCGGGTCAGGCCACCGTAGAGTGGAGCAGAATTCCCAAACCATACGGGTCAAATTAACTCCCCAGGGGCTACACCAGAAGACCACACGATGTGGTTCAGGAGGATACTGGTAATGAGGTTCGGCCACCGTCCAAGATGTGATGATGCGGAGTGTGCGTGTGAATACCGTAGAGGTATTCCGGGCAGTAGGCGCCAATGAAGCATTCGGTACGGCATCGCTCTCGGACATCGAGGCTAATTTATCCCTTCGTTTATGCGCAAAGGCGACCAAGTAATTATACACTAGAAGCAATGTACTGTGTTGCTGCTGGCGGTGCTTGCGGATCTGTTGGCACAAATGTGAGAATTCAGGGTCGTCAGTACTTCGCGAATGGCCTGCGGCCTTGTCTGCGAGGGCATTTCCCTGGATATGCCATTCATCTGCACGGCAAGAGGCTTCTTCAAGTTTCATGTGGGACTTAATTTTCATTATCCGGAATCGACTAGGGTCCCAAACATCTGTGATGAAGAGTCTATATGAATTACACGTCAGTTCCGATGGGGGACCCCGCCCCGGCCCCTCCAGTCCGTCCGTCCTTCCGACCTTCGGCGTCTCTTTCGACGAAATCCGCGTGTTGAGAAAGCGTCACTCCCATTGAAGACAGCAGCCGTTCTGTGGATTGAATTCCTTCCTCCCGCCGTTCGTTTTCAAGTGTCGACGAATTGATTCGGGGCATGGTGGGTGTGTTCCTCAGAGAGTACCTCAGAGTACTCCACATGCTTTCGTCCACCTATTTTGGCTTTGCATGGCTCATGGGTCTGTGACCGAACTGGTCTAATGACCTCTGAAAACATGAAAGAACTGGATTCAGGATGCTCAGAGCATTCACCCAAACGCTCATGGCTCATGGACCCGCAGGATGGAACGGTCTGGGGCGGTCTGGGGGTCTCTACATGGGGTTTGCACCGCGACACGGCGGTGAACAGAGCGTCTGGGCAGCGGGCTGGCGCTGGCCCGCTCGCGCGTGGCCGCCTCGCCTCGTCGGAGAGCGTGGCCGCAAAAAGGCACAGGAACCTGGCGTGAAGTGAACAGGTGCGGCGTGCTGTGAAAGCGTCGAAGTCTTGAAACATCTCGCAAAACATGTGCGAGGCCCTGTGCAAAGATGTGCGACCACGCCATTTAAAACCGCGCATTCAACATTTACTCCCGTGTTTGAATCAGGTTGCAATCAGATTCTAGATAGGTTCTATAGTTTATATCTTAGAAAGGACCTGATAGAACAGAATACCTACTGTTTGGGCCCAGCCCTTCAGCCAGGCCCCCAGGCCCCAAGGCCCCTGTACGGAACCCTGTACGATCCAGCCGAGAAACCGCTCGTTCAGAACGGCTCCGTCTCACCGTGCCGAGCTGATGGATGTGCCCAAACAAAAGAGCAACAATCTGAATAGATCTGAATCATCTCAGAAACAAGCCCACAATAAGCGCCCATCTCAGAAACAAACATCGATGCCGAATCCTGATCCCTGAAGAGTTGGTATATATGTACACTCCCTGTAACTAACATGGAAGTGGAGAATGGCCCCTTGGAAGACCATTTTCCACTACAAACAGGTGGTTTTCCACTTCCATGTTAATTCCAGGGAGAGTAGATGATGCTAGCTTCAAAAGACCGTCCACTAGGATTATACACATGGGATTACACAGGTCTCTCCAGCCCTGTGGCAGGTGCCTTTGGCAGGTGCCCCTGTCCCTCGACCCCACGGGCACCAAACTCACCCGACTCACCACCGCGCACGACGTGGCTCGGCTCTTGAGAAGAGGAGCCATTTCGAGGTCACGAAGAGGAAGTCGAACCTCGTGATATGGGTGGAAAACTCAGGATGTTTCTTGGCCAAGCTGTAGGGGGGAAAAAAGTCTATATAGCCCAGACACGACTGATGGGACTGCCATATATGCCGATCAATTGACCCCGCCTGGCACCACCCCAACTGATTGGCATTATATGGCAGTCCCATGTGTCGTGTCTGTATATAGTGGATGGAGAGTTGGATGGTATACGTCTGGGCCACATGTGGACCCCGCTTGGCGGGTCCAACAAAAACATCATGTCGGGGTGGTGGATCTACGCGCAAGGTAGACCTCTGAAACCACTGAGTACTGTTAATATAGCTGCTGTTAATTAATAAACCAACCCAATTTAATTGGAAATCCTTGTCAATGGGGGGTGACATATAATCAAGAGTCTACATTAATTCAATTTACTGGGATAAGTGCAGAGTTCCCCAAACAAACCCAAGTGTCGTGATCGCAGCGTGTGGGGGGTGAGGGCGAGGGTAAGGACTAAGGAGAGGATGTTTGTAATCAATGGAAGCTCCTACAGCTGATGGCAAAACCGCAAAGGAGTTCATGCCACTTGGATTGAACGGAAATGCTATCAGCGATCAACAGACTGATACGGTATATACATATAATATACATATAATACATGGCGGCCCTGTCTACCTCCATACAGAAGAAACATGGTGTTCTGTCTACAACTTTTCTCAACCCCAGTCAGGGTGATACAGCTAGTCAACTCATATAAATACCCTCAAAATGCATTGGGTCGACTATGACAAATACCCAAACACTCCATGTATGCCATATATGCCGATCAATTGGGGTGCTTTGGGGGGTCAATGTAGGCATATATGGCATACATGGAGTGTCTGGGATATGTTTGATGTTTAATTTCTTTAATGCAAGAGCAGTAGGGCTCAACTCGCACCATTAGCGGTGCGTATATTGGGCCCCAGAACCTACTTGTGGGTTCGACTTTTTGCGTTTTTTGCGCTCGTTGCGGATAGCCATAATGGTAAGCTGCTTGGTGGTGGGGTCGACAGCTACAACTTGGAGCCGAACTGCAACAATACCTCGTGGAAAAAGCCCCAGCTGGCACCGGCGCGAACGCTCTCGACGAGCAAAGGCGAGAGGACTGGTAAGAAGGGCTAAGAAGACAACCCACCTGTCTCACGACCTCATTGGACGGCTGGTGAGAGCCCAACGCATTTTGCAGGAGCATCACAGCTACGTACAACCCATGGGATGGGGAGGTCAATACAAAGGAGCTCAAGGGAAGCCATGGTGGAGCAAATGGCAGCAGCAAGGGCAGCCGAAAGGCCCGAAGCCCAAGAAACAAGTGAAGCCAGACAAGGGTGCAAAGAAGAACGAAAAGGCAGAAGATGCCTTTCCCGCATACGAGTCTTTGCAGTCATCCTCTTCTTCCTCTGCAGCCAAGGACTCCAAGGAAGTCGAGGAGATCAAGAAGGAAATGCGAGAATTCCTTGCTTCAAAGGATATCGCGGTGGATGCACACATTGTAGAATTGCTGCACAGCGACCCCAACACCATGGAAGAGATCAAGTCAGAACAGAGGAGCTTGAATCTCAAAAAGAAGATTATTGGGAGAATAGAGAAGTTGAAACAGAAGCACGCCGAGAAGAAGGAGGCGTGGAGCATTTTTCTGGATGCAATGGAGGCTCATCGAAAAAAGGAAAAGGAGAAGCATGCCTCAGACTTGCTAGCTCTGGAAGAAGCCCTCTCGGAAGCCCAGAAAGAGCTCAACAAGATTGTAATGAAAGAAACAGATGGGAGCGACAGCATGGCAGTCGAGGATGCGGAAAAAGAAGCACTGAAGAGGGAGCTCGAGCGTACTCACGCTATTATGAGGAATCTTCAGCAACGGGTCGACAGCTATGTTGGAGCAATGGAAATGACGAGGCCGGAAGGAATGCCGAACGATCTTTCGCCGCAGCTGACGCGAACTCCACCAACAGCGTCGGTGAGAATTCTTCCAGACGAAGCGGCAGCCAGGGCTGCTCGGCTGCTGGAACAATCCATTCCTGTTCCTGTTCGTTCAAGGAGTACATCAAGGAGTCCCAGGAGAGAACCCTCCAACTCACTGGAGAGGCTCGACAAGTGAGAAGCCAAACTTATGAGCCTTTTTTCGTGCATTCTGCTCGAAGTGGAGGCGAGAAGTCCGTTGGTTACGGACTGGATCATGGCTTCATGCAATATGAACCTCTTCCCGACGGTGCACTTGGCGCCATTTTTCAAGGGGCGACATGCATTGTGGGGTTGAGGGGGCATCGAAACGCCATTCTGAAGGGTACAGAGGTATGCCATTGGACTGCAACCGACCTTCATGAGTCAGCTTTCGACTTGAATGGAATCCTTGGGGACTATGTGCCTAGAGGAATCGACAATTTGTCTTGGTTAGATGAGGTCACTTTTGGAATAAATGCTGATACTCTCAATCGTGACAGTTCGTCGCAATCGACCTTTTTCGCTGGGGTAAGTACTTTGTTTTTGTGCATACTCTGCTATGCATTTGGGCGAACATGTCCACTTATGCATTTTTTGCTTCAGGGCCGACCTCTTAGAGGTTCAGATCAAAGAAGCAAGCTCGTCCAGTGGATCTTGATCGGGTATTTTCTGCTGGTCGCAATTCAAGTTGTGTCATGTCAAATCTTCGTCAGTGGCGGTGTGCATATCCGGCCAGACTATCTTTCCATTGCAATCCAGGTCCAAGCTACACTAGCTTTTTCGCTTTTGTTTGTGAGACTTGGGTTAAGGTGGAGATGCGATAGGATAGGTCCTTGCAGATTAATCGGCAATTCGCGCAAAAGTGTGATTCGACCTAGACTTCAAGGCATAAAACTCAAGGCTGTTTTCATGTGCCTCAACATAGCAAGTTCGCATGCCACTCAAGTTTTCCATTCTTGTGAACAGGGTGCTATGTTCGTTGGCAATCTGAGCTCAGCTAGTGGGTTGAATGAAAACGATAGACTGCATAACCACAGCAGTCCGGCATTACGTGATCCTGTGCAGAGCATTATGCATTGTCCTGACAGCCCAAGGGCTCCTGATAGGGGCCCAATTGAACAGAGAACTGAGACAGGAGACCAAAGCGGAGATGCACTGCTGGGTCCCGCTGCGGGAGGAAGTGCCCTACCAGAGGCCACCTTCTGCGAGAGTGAAACTAGTCCCTCTTCTTGGCCTTGTGAGGGGGACAGTAGAGCTATGATTCCTAATGGAACTGAAGAAGGCCATTGCCATTCGTCCACGAACTGCCAGGTGCATGATTCTGACATTGGCTCTGTTTATCAGGCAATTCACGCGGACGACAGGCCAACATTTTTGGGCAATTTTGTCATCGATCCAAGGACACAAGAGCCTCTAGGTGTCGATGTAGGTCATGTCTGGGGCACGGCTTTGATGCAATGGCTAAAGCAAGCGGAGCTTTTCCATCATCTGAGAGTGATGCAAGGACATTTCGGCGCTAAAAGCGCCAAACCAACAAATCTACTCATAGCAGGTCTTTCGGCTGAAACAACTTCAGCCTTAGAGAGTGAGAGTAGAACTTCGAGCTGCCCCAAAGCAGCTTCGATCAGACTGGAAGGTCGCAGTTGGGCTACGAGTTCCCTTACGGAGTACCCACGTGACTTTTGTAGGTTTTTGGCACAGATGTTCGATCGATGGATGCTGGGAGCAACTCGCGTGTCGGGACCCCCACCTTCAGACGTGACCTGGCTTAAAGCCATGTATGTGTCTGAGGTGGAAACACATTGTCAAGAAGGGCCCGATTTTAATCCGCGTCTAATTAAGAATTCACGTCAGCAAGGCGCTGAGTCTTAGGACACCGTGCGCACACAGAAAGAAAGAAAGAAAGAAAGAAAGAAGAATGCAAGAGCAGTGACCCCCCCCAAAAAAATTAAGATCCGCAACTTGCTGTGAAAAAGCTGTGATGCATGAAAAGGTTAGTTTCTTGGGGTGAATCCAGGATATGGATGTGTCTTGGAACCAGGAACCCTGAAACACTAGCGGCTCAGTAAAGAAAAAAGACTCAGCTCAGTGGTCTGGGTAGCAATTGATGACGATGGTTGCTGTAAAAAGAGAACCAGGACAAGAACGGCCATAACTGTCTGCAATTGTCTCCCGTCTGTGGCAGGCCAAGCTCACTAGGGCCTCCCATCTAAACTTGTGAGGCAACGTTTCATACATGGAACCCGTTTCATACTTTCCGGCGGGTTACAAGAACATGTTCACTTCCAACCTCCACATCCGTTTGAAGCTGAACCTCGGCAGGATGGAACCCGTCGCACCCGATGCATCGGGTCCAGGGTACTGATGCTGCACCAGCACCTGGTGTACTGCTGGCAGCCGCTCGCGGAGCATCTCCTGCGGTCAGCAAAAGTGTGGTGATGGTCATGCGGCACCGCGCTTTTTAGAGACCATATGGTCATAGACTCTCATAGAGAGTCCATAAAAAGTATAGGTCTGTATTCATCTATATAAATGTATAGACTCTTGAGGCTCAACCTCTTCCCGTCGGAGGGGGTTATCAATCAAGAGTCTACAGTTCCGTCTGCATTGAGCAAAAAAAACGGTGTGTTTTTGTTGGGTGGACACCGCACCGCTTCGAGTTGATCGAATCTCATGGGTTGAATGGTTGAATCTCAACATTCAAACAGTTGTATACCAAACCCAAACAACCAGAAACAAATGGTTGCTCATGGTTGTTCCAATGTTATATGGCAATTGAGATCCTTTAGACAGGAAATGGCTGGGACTGGGGAAACATCCATGTCTTTTTGGTTTCCAGGTAACAGTGGTCAGGTCTCCATTTTTCCAGCTGCACTTTGCACACAACATCACAACGAAACTCTGAAGACATTGCGCCTCTCCAAGAATTGCGCGTCATTGGCAATAAGTCGCCAGAGGAGAGAAACACACACAGTTGCTACCAGGGACTCTCAGGAACATGACAGTATCCAATCCACCGGCATGCGCACGTGCAACTGCATGTCGCGCCCTGAGCAGAGCCGGCGCACTGCGCGTGGGTCTCCATGGGTAAAATCAGGATCACGAACAACAAAGGATTCAACGAACGCCAAGAGCAAGACGGCTCCCTGCTTTTCACCGGGAAGAACTGGATAGCCCCATAGGGAAGAACTGGAGACCCTTGTCTCGCCAGCTAGTTGTCAAGTCTTGTAGAGGCAAATTGCCAGATCGTCGATGGTGTCAGGGGACAAACATCGCACTCCGGCTCCAAGCATATCCTCAGAAGGTGGTTACACCATGTTAGATCCCCCTGGCACCCACCCCAACCATCCTTTCAGGAAATAGTTGGAGCCCTAGGGACTCTGTAAATCAGGATCGGTGTCTGGAGTCGTCGTGCTCTGAGGGCTGGTGTCAGTCCAGCACTGTCCTCGCCTCCAGCACAGCGGTGTCAGCGCCTGAGTTGGTGATTGATCCCCCACAGATTCCTGCAAACACGTGCAGAAATCAAGCGTGTTGAGTGGGGCCCAGCGGCCCAAGTGAAACAAGAATAATCCCAATCACGGTTTTGTTTGAGCCCCACAGGATCAGGATCGATGTCCACCTTGTTTTGTTAGGCCAACTCACCTGGATTTCTTTTATCCATGCTGAAAACAGCGGGTGGGTCATTGACCCACCATGCTCCGGTAATCGAAACTCGAACTTACAGGACCTTACAGGAGGCAGCTCACTTCCACACACAACATCTCGAACTCCGATTTACACACACCACACCCATCCACACCAGCTCTCGAATCAAGCCAAGCATGTGTTTGTTTGTGTTTTTTTTTCTGTGTGTGTGCGCTTCAGCTTCCAGCCTGCTAGAGCATCTCAAGAAACACCCGCCGACCGCAGCACTGCTGTGTGCATCCTGGGGCCCCAACGAAGCTGGCGCATGCCCTCCATGTACCACTGCCGAGTCCTCCAAAGGCCGTTGTGGTAAGAGGGGCTTGGGCCCAAGCGGTGGACACCGGGCCCAGGGTTCAGGGGCCTGGATTCGCTGGTGTCACTGGACACTCGCCCTCCAGTCACTTGATGGCCCTCACAGGGGCCTTTGTGGTGAAGGAGGGCCCTTTATTGGACGAGTGAGTCCTCCAAAGATCTGGCAAGGAGCCAAATCTAAAAAGAGCCTACAAAGAAGCCGTTAGAAGTTCGAAGCACTTCAAGTTGGGACGGGAGAAGCCTAAAAACATCGACCAAAACATCAAAACCCCTAGACCTTGCGTGAAAGGTCCTATTCCGCCGCTGTAGCAGCATACCTCAGTTCCACCAGCCAACAAAGTGCACCAAACGGCACCTGGTTCCATGGGTCGTGATCACCAGGCATCCCTGCTGCAGCTTCATGATCAACTGGCGAACGGCACTCACAGCCTAGGTGCTGAAGCGAAAAAAGGACAGAAACACGAGGACCGTTTGACCGTTTTGTAACACGTCGACAACGTGATCGTGAAAGTGTGCTTCCCCTATCAGGGTACGCATAGGTCATAGGTCCCACAAAGAATCTATTTTTTCGTTGGTGTGATGTGGCGTGGCTGTACCAAAGGTAGGTCGAAAACTATATATGTTTCAGGTCAGGCTGAGCCAGTGAAACCTACACAATCCAACGGCAGGACATATAATATGTGCAACACTCCTAGCTCCGAACACTTTCCTGGGCATATTGCCTCCAGAAGTCTAGCTACTGTCAGGATTCAGGGACGTGTGCCTGAAATTTATTATTGCATTTCTTTGACATACCCCCCGCCAAATATTTCAAGGGCTGGGCAGGGTATGTCCGGATCATTGAACCTCATGAACGATGCGAAGACCACTGGTACCGGGTGGGCACCGCTCTGTATAGGTCTTCGGGACCGGACACGTCGCATCCCGTGGCGTCCACGGAGGTTGGAGACAAAGGTTGGACCATTTGAACCCAACGTCAACAACTGGAGTTCTTGGCCCCTCGACCCCGACTAGACTGCCAGACTCGTTCGTTCAACCGCATGACTCATGACCAACAAAAACTCCTGCTTATGCCTGCTTCAAATCGGTATACGGACCAGGGTTGTGGCTTCGCCGCGGCATGAATTGCGAAGGGTTTTGGCCATATCGCCCGCCTTAGCCAGACCTTGGCCAAGCCTTTCGGCGTCCACTCCAAGTGTCCACGCCATCTCTGGCGTGTGTAAAACCATGAGGAAGTTGGCAGCGATGAAGTTCAAGGACCTTAGGCGCAGGTCGTCCCTGTCGCGATTCGCGAAGCCCAGCATGTGGACCTCCAGTCCCATTCCCTCCACACCGGGAACCGGATGTTCTGCACTGCACGGCGCCATGGAAGCGGAACCAGCTATGGCTCTTTCTTTCAAAACGGAGTTCCCCCCCGAACCTTCACTTGTAGCACCAGTTTCTTGCGAACCTGTGGTTTGACACATTGAGCAATCTTGGACTTTTGCCTTCTTGATGCAATGTGCGCGTTTTTTTGAAGGTTTGAAGGGTTTTGAGCATGTTTTGAGCTGCTGCCGGAAGTTTTCTTGGGCCAAAGGTGGAAACCTGCAAAAGCAACGTAAATGGCCGCAACATGCACACATATTGAACAAGTTGCCAACCACCCCCAAAAGGGTTGAAAACAAGATGGTTTCATGCGTGTTCTTGAGTGACTGTAGCGCTTTTGCTTGAATAAGCACTTTTAGAAATAAGATGCTTGCTTGTAGCGAAGGAGGCTTCAGGCTTTTTGACATTTATTTTATAGGAACTTTTGACCGCAAACCCTACGTAGCTTTGCAAGACACCTGCAAATACAGTGCGGACATGCAATGTTGCTTTCATCCACGAATCCCCAGGCTCGCCTGTCCTCAATCTTCAATGTGCTAAGTGCAAAGGTGAAGAAATCGAGGGGATATTCACTTTTCATCACTTTCCGGGCAACCAACTGGGTCTCAAATCAAATCTGAACACCGGGATCCTTACACTCCCTGGAAGAATCGTGGGATATGGTAATATACGGTGATATACCCTCCATCCAACAAACATGGAAATGGAACATGGCCCCGAAAGGAAGACTGTTTTCCTCTACGAACAGGGTGTATTCCGCTTCCATGATTGTTTCAGGGAGGGGCCCTGGCCCCTCATGGCCTCGGATTTTCCCGAGGCCTCGGATTTTCCGGACATCCGAAGGCCAAAGCGCTGGTGCCATCCATGTAGCCATATGATTCTTTCAGGGACATCATGTGAATATTTATGGATGTAATACCGATAATATGTTTCACACATACACCCTGATTTGGCAAGTTCCACGGATCTCTATGAATCTCTTAGCCCAGCTCTGGCTATTTGCATTCCCGGTCCTGTGGTTTTCCTGTTGAAATTGGTGGCCCACTACCTCCAAACCCCCAGGAGAAAACAGCAAATTGCACAAATTCTGCTTGACATTGATTTCTCGAGCTGACCACACAATCTCAGCGTCAAATCTCGGCGTCATCACCGGTCCACACCACCTGAGCTCCCAGCTGACAGTATCCCAACTCCATGTCCTGACGGGCCAACTCCACCAGCACCTCTGATGGCCCGATCGATCGCACGGACGCGCAGTGCACGGACGCGCCAACGGCAGGCGTTTGGAGTCTCCACTGGTCCACCGGCGTGCCATGGGCCATGGGAGGTGCTACGACACCAGGTGTTTTGCTGGACACATCTGACGTTTGGACCCACAGCCTGTCTTACAAGAAGTTCCTATGTTAAACTCCCTTGTGGTGGCCACACCACCACCATTGGTGCCCACGGACCGGGTCAATGGGTCAATGGGTCTTGTGACGCAAAATGCCTCTACAATCCTCTACAGTGGTTTCAGAGTTTGGATGGCAAGATCATGTTCTTAGATTTCAATTTATATAAGAATTCTGTGCCATCTGCTCTGACAAACACCTGCAACAACAGGTCTTCATTCCACGCGGCACACCGCCCCGGCCGGCCATCGCTCAACACCGCGCAGCGCTTCGCCGCGGCTCGGTACCGCACGAGACGCAGGTGGTCAGGGCCACCCATCTCCTGACGAGTCGGCCCCCCCGCCCAAAAACCGCAATGGGGTGTCTATGAATGAACAGAATGAAGGGGCACTGGTATGGGATTTGGGTGCGGTTCATGCAGAAAGCGCCCCAAAAACAGCTGAAGTCTCAATTTTCTCGATGTGATGGCACGTAGAGGGCACGAACTTCTGTGGGACAGTCGTTGTGTGGGAGATGTGGGAGGGTCCTTTAAACATATCGTACGCGGAAGGGCTAGCTTATCTCATGTTGCCTTCCTGTGTTCATTCATGTATTCTTTGGCTTTCAAGGTGGGGATTTCAAGCAAATCAACAGTTCAATGTTTCGTTATAATTGGCACTATATGATCTCAGCTGCTGGCTAAACAATTGGATTGCATCGTTCTTGTAAAAGATGCTGACATATGCTGATATACAATGCATATCATACACACGGGTGTATTGCAATTCTATGCAGGGGCAGCCTGTCTGAACACAAGAAGCCGAGGTAAGAGGCCTAGAGGCCTAGATGCGAAGGCTGCGACCCAGAATGTGGTGCAATCATTCTCATCATGTCTCATCCATGCGCGGTTTATGTGGGTTCTCCGAGCACCTGTGGAGAATTGAGCACCCTATCACCGCCCTGGCGGTTCATGCGATTTTGAACCATAAATCATATATTTAAGTCTTGCTTGCTGCTTTTTGGAGCCAGTCATCCAGGAGCAAACCTTTCCACAACGAGCACTGGCTGATCCTGCTGCTTCCGGGCCTTTCACCTGCGAGTGGCGAACCTCCGTTGCTGGACTCCCTTTTGCCCTTCCTGGAACTTGTCGTCGTTGGGAAAGGTCCGGGCAACATCTGCCTCGATGGATGTGGATCTGGCCATCCAAGGCACAGTGGTCCCAGTTGAACAGGAGTCAAACGAAAACAAAGGGAGAAACAAAAAGGTAAGGACTCAGGACAAACATCAAACACACTTCTAGAACATATATATAGTTATTCATTCATTGTTTTCTTTCTCAGAACCAATCCATTCGGCATGTATACTGGCATGACACCCCCGCCTCGATGACATCCAGAATGGACGAGGGCCTCAGCAGGTGCACAAGTTGCCAAAGCCAGGATGACTGGGCACTTACAGGGCAATAAGAAACACCCTCTACAGACTTGAGATTGAATAGAACATAGCATGGCAAACATCTGCTGGCCGTGGGTACTCTTGGTTCTTCTCTCCGTGTAGCCAACAACCATACGACTTGGCCAGACCACACTCGACTTGTTCTTCTGTGGTCTCCATGTGAGATTCCAACAGAAGACCATACGACTGGGACACTGTCCGAGCGGATCCTTGCGACACAGCTGGATCACAGCTCCAGTCTGCACCGCTGAAGCGCCCGTGAAATTCAACGGGCTGATGGCACAAATCCCAAGAGGTGGTGCGAGCCCCATCTAGCCGAACATCTTGAGGTAAAAAGACACATCTGGAAGCACGGGACAAAAGAAACAGCACCCTTGAAGGACAGGATTCTTTGGTCCCGGAATAGGCTTTAGGGGAAATTTGCAGGAAGTCCATAGTTCTGGGCTGTCAACTGCCAAGGTTTACCGTCCCTTTAGTACGCCAATCCATGGCATCAACGACTCTTGCATCAACCTCCAGACGCTGGCATCAACCTCCATGGCATCACCACGACAAACGCTTGGGGTTGTGGACCCCCCTGGGCGTCTTCTTCGCAGCTTGGGAGTCCCGAGCAACTCCTCGCCGCCCTCGTGTCCATTGGCCACGTCGCCCTCGGGGCGGCATGCGGATAGCCGCATGTGGATCATCCAGCCGTCGAAAAGGAAGGAAACCATCGGCATGATCCGAAGGATGGAAAGAAGCTAGAAAAAACATATACATGCAAGTTAACAAAAGTTATTGCTTTAAATGGTACACCTTCCAGGAGTCAGATTCTGGGGAGGTTGTATTCCCATCCAGTGCGTGGATGTGGCGCTCGGGCACCCCAACTTCCTCCGTTCGTTCGGCACACTATTCCTCCATATGATCTATTTGATGCTATAGCTGTAGCATGCTTGGCATCCCTTTGGACGGTCATTTCTGCGATCAGGAGCTGGAACCACCCAGCTGCCCAGGCCTCTGGCATCGGGCGACCTGTCCAGAGTCGAGGACGCCAGTGGGGGTGTTCGGTCTGAGAATGAGAATCATGAAGTTGTACCTGGATCTTTCAATTACTTTTTGTCTGCCTTTTACCTGTTCATCAATTTTAAAGAAACAGCCAAAGTTAAGCAAATATTTGGCATAGTTAGAAGATCCAGGTATGCAGTTATACTATGCTATACTATCCTAACTTGGCACCAGTTCTTGTTTGTTAAATCTATATCGCATTGAAACAGCTTTCCGCCCCTGCTGGGCTAGGATAAAAAGTGCGCCGCGCTGAGAACGGCCCATTTGGTCAACAAATGAGTGACGTGCAAAACCTCTGTGTGTTGTAGTACGCACTCTTCCCAATGTTATCGTATTTTTCTTTAAACCTTGTCGTTCCTGATGTTTTTGGACACACCTGACAACATGCACTAAAACCGTATCGTTCTTTTCTTGTGAGCCTTATCGTTCCTGAAGGTTTCCCTCATTTGGGCTTACTTAGTCACTGTAGTGATGCTGCCTTCATTGGAGGTTTCGGCAGTTGCTCAAATGTCACCAGCATTGGTCACCAATGGCTCTGTTGCATTTTCCGAAAGTGAAGCAGGACAAACACACACGCACACACACAAAGTAGAAACTATACTATATAAATAAATAAATAACTAAATATATCTCTATATATATATATGCAATTGTATGTACATATATCCACCCACAGCTTGGACAAATAATTGCACATAATTACTATATGCCCTTGTTACAGCCCTTGTTCCAACATTTATGGTGGTGAAGATTGGTGAAGCCAAACAAAAAACTATCATCACATCGGTTCGAACCCCAGCGGCGCCCGGTCGAGCACGTTTGGAGCCCTTTTGGCACCGCGAGTCGCGAGTCGCGGTCAGGCCAGATGCGCTGCAAAGGCTTCGGCGGCTCCTGGAGCTCCGGGAAGGTTCGGCGGGGTGTTCCAGTCGTCCGAAGGAACTCAGAGATGGCAAGAGACGAAGCCGCGCCGTCGTCCGACAGCTGCTTTTCTTGGTCTGCTCACCCCTCAAGGGAAAAAAACACAAACATCCGTGACGCAAGGTCTTGTGTTGTGCTCTGAATGACCGATAAATGAAAGTCATCTACACTCCTATGCATTCCTCAAGAATCGCAGCATTTGGACATGAGCCTTCAGTGGGACCCGCAGTTCTGGTCCGTCCTGATGCTTGATAAACTCCATGGCAGGGCAGCAAACCCTTAGGCTGCCAGGACTTCACCTTCTTCAAAACAGATTCCAAGGATGCCTCCAGCACGTGGTTCACCCAGCCGTGGTGAAACACACACCTCTTGGTTGATTGGTAGGGACACCTGCAAAGATTGAACGGGTTCTTGGATGTACTTGCTTGATCTTGGTCAGACTTCATTGGCCCACATGGGCCGTCTGCTCGGACGCCAAAACACCGCATGAAAACACACCACATGGGAGGAAGGCTCGCTGCACTCGGCCAATCTTCGCATGTTCTAACCGACACGACCGACAAGTGTTTCATCACACTTCCTCCGCATGGCGCTTCAACCCACTTTTCTCATTGCGAGGCTCCACAAGAAGGAGGAGCCTAGCGTCGTGCCATGAAACAAACCCAGGATCAGGATGGCTCAGGCACCATCGTCCGATTACTCTCAATGTTCCGCCCGCCTCATCTTTCAGCATAAAGCCTTGGGGCATCGGACTTTCAGCAGCGACCAATGAGTGGTTTTCCTCGCGGTCTGGTTGAAAGGGTGTACCAGGTACCGTGGTGTACCTGTCCCCGGCTATGTAGGAGGGATTAGATGCTGCGTGTTCACCGAGATCGCCATCAAGAGTGTCGTTATGAGATTTGGAGCCGGGGTTCTGAAGGGTCCCCTGTGTCCTCTCTCAGTCTGTGGTCTCATGTGGTCACAAATTCTCACCTCGCAGGTCTGCACACTTCCTGTTTTGCCCTGAGCTCGGGGCGTCGGTAAAAGGGCAGGTAGATCTTGTCCATCAGAAACCTCTCCCAGTCGGGCTGACCCGCGTGCCGAAGAGGGTTCGGTCGCCGATCGCTCGCGAGGACCGGTGGCGGTGAAGGTCCCGCGAAGGTCCGACCAAGGAGCTTCCACAACTTGGAGCCCTCGGGCATCGCTTCCGGATAGCTCCAGAAGATGTCAGTGGTGATCAGCGTCTCACTGGGCACGTGGTAAAAAATCCTCACGAAGTGGCACGGAGTGGCTAGATTCGGCTAGATGCTATCTTGGGCAAGATCGGGGTGGGTTGAGTCTTACAGCATTAATAACTAGCAAGGGGTTGGGGAATTCCCGGTAACTCCTTTGCTCTCTGTTTAGTGGGGAATATGGATAGCCCCCAGCTCCTTAACGCCATACTGAGCAGCAGACGTCTAAGCACCAGCTAATTGGATAAGGACACATGGTGACATGGGTCGATGAACAGGCATTTCTGACACACCAATTGTCAGCCCTTTTGGCCGTTCTTATCCATCTTCACGGTATTTCTCATAGATTTCCGTAGGCCTTTCACAACCCATGAGTGCTAACAGCTCAGCTCAGCACTCGTCGCGGTGTTTTCGCGCTGTGTTTCAGCAAAGAGTCACTTCATTGAAGAAGGGCGTGCCGACCAGCGGTATTCCTGAGGAAATCCAGTGGGTTCAATGGAGCAAACCCCGCGACCCCTGCAAAGATAAAACAAACAATATGATACAATATGATGTGTAAATCAGTGTAGTTCCAAAATAAGTTGCTGAACATATCTGAATATCAACCAAATTGAGAACTATATGATTCTATACCATGTTTTACCCTTCGGCAATTTGAGACGCACTTGTGGGTTCTGCCGAGCGTCGTTCACAATCAGCGAAACCTCGGAACGAAAGCGGCCAGGGCGGTGAGTGACTTCTCCCGGCCGAACGAAACCGAGGTTGGGAACCCCGAAAGGGTCCTGACTGCCGAGCCGTTTCCCTTGAAAAAAGGTTATAGCCTTTTTCCATGTATATGAGGTGGGGAAAATAAACACCCAACAAAGGTTAAAGGTTATCAACTTTTTCCTGAATGTGGGAAAAACAAGACTGATCCTTTTGCATCTGAAAGGCAAATCTCAATGTCCCCTTGCCATGCAGCAGGAGAGGCAATATCCAGCTCCCGGTCATAAGGAATCTTTGGGAACTTCTCGATCATGCCTTGCCAGCTTGACGAGATGTTCTTCCAGAAGTCCAAGCAGAAGGCACTACATGTATGAAACATACTTTGGGGACATACACTTACATTGAGCCCTGAAACCATGCCAACTATAGGTAAATGTGATGAAGTGTTTGGGAAACACACGCGCAGAAGCGCAGTCCCACATGGACAGGATCAGTTATGGGTCCCCCACTGTTTTGTCATCCCATGTGGCAACAAATGATTGATGAGAAAAAACACACTCCATGCTTATGATCAAATTGGGAGTTGTTCAAAAGTCCTTTCATTTTTTCCAGGCCTTTCGGAGGACCTTCGCGAAGCTTTCGCGCGTGGGGTTTTACTACTGTCGGCGAAAATGGTTTTTCGTTGGGGCTAGAGGCTTTCAAGGATTCATGCAGTTGCCCTGGCACGTCTTGCGTCCTCTGATAACTGACACATTGGTTGCCGAGGAACAGGAAGCCAGCCAACCAAGCCATTTTCATTTTGGTGTGTTTTTGGTTGGGCGCAACCCTCCATGAACAAAAGACGGCTCAGGCCAGTTCGCTCAGACTTCCAATTTGCTTTTTCCCGGGCCGGGAAAAAGCAACATGGTCAAGACTTCCAATTTGGAAAGCAATTTGCCTCACAGATTTCCAATTGCTGTCTCCACCCTGGAAACAATCAGCGCGGTGAGGCTCGAGCCCACAACCTTCTGCTTATGCCACAGCTCTCTAAATAAAATGCGCAATTACAGCCGTAGAGCCAACCACCTCACCTCACATACCTGCACTTGTGGGCATGCTATGAGTGCATCTGCAGCTGGAGTGTCCAGCGCGTGCTTCCAGCAAGAAGAGTGGAGTGGGGTGGGGTTTGGCCCTGTCGTCTTTCGCGTCCGCAGTGCGAACCTGTCGCCATACTTGCGCAGTTTCCCACGACAAAGGATTTTCCAAGGGTCGGGAAAAAACAATCGGAAATGTATCAGACTTCCAATTTGCTTTTTCCCGGCCCGGGAAAAAGCAAAAGGCTCAGACTTCCAATTTGCTTTTTCCCAACCCGGGAAAAAGCAATCGGAAGTCTGAAGAGCAATTGTTTTTGCAGCGTGGCCAGGTCACCAACATGACTTGCGCAGACCTTTCGCAGGACCTTCGCGAACCTTTCGCGACTGCAGTGAGAGCGCACTCGAAATCAGCCTTTGAAATTCGATTACTATCAAGGAAGAGGTGGGTTTTTGAACGACGTTCAAATATATAATTACCCCTACACACTTGGCATCTTCTTACCTTGTGAAGAAGAGCTCTTGCAAGATGTGTCCAAGTCCATCCTCTGCTGCTCCAAGTAAGTTTATGCCCTCCCTCCACAAGCAGCCCCTAGGGTCGCTACCAGGAGAGCCCCACAAGGTAGCTTCCGGATAGGCCTGAAGCAACTTGCAGCAGTTTGAAGCTAAAACGGTGGGGGCACAAGGAAAATTGATCCAAAAAACATGTCAATGTAATTTAATGTAATTAAGCAGTTGCAATTTTGACAACATATATAAGCAAGGGCTGCAAAATTATGTCCTCTCGGTGTCTTGTTTGAAACCAATCCGGCTCGATCCGTGTGTGCTGTCCGTTCAACATCGCCCCGCACCGGACGTGCTTCGAAACGGCTGCATGCTTTCCACGTTTGCCAAACGGGCCCCAATGGACACCATCGGCCTCCTTCCACTGCTTGGCGTATTTCACGTGTTCGAAGTTGGGAGAGACCACATGCTGCACCGGCCCCAGTTCCGCTAGCTGGGCCCTGGCCGGAGCGAACTTCAAGCACATTCGACCTCTCACGGCTTCTGACGGTTCTGGGGATTGGAACATGGGTGCATTGAATGGCTCAGCCGACCCCAAAACAGAACTTCCTGGAAATCCACTCCCAACCAAAAACAAAAGGATGTTTTCCACGCAACCACTTGCTATGTAAAGGATCTCAATGGCCATATCGGAACAACTAGTTTCTGGTTGTTAGGGTTTCCGGGTTGGAAGAAGACTCCAGCATTGGTGCAAAGGGTAAACCTTTCCGGACTTGACGTGGGCTGCAGTCGTTGGAGTTCAAAATCGTTGGTTCTTCCCCCCACGTCTGGCAGTAGATGAAAGGGTTACAATTGCTTCATGATTCATGAGTCTCTTGAAGTCGGATGGTGTCATTCCTATGATTTCGGTCCTATGACTTCTGGAATTGTGAGTCGACAAACCCAAGCACTGAATGAACTCCACTGAAGCCAAATGCCAAGGAGCTGTGTATCGCGTGGCTGTACTGTCAGAAGTGAGTGAGTTCGAACAGGTTCAACGCAGTGAGTTATATAGTTGCATCATCAAAGACCATCTCACATTACAAGTTCGGAATCCAAGGTGGTTTTGCATGATGATATATCAGTCATGGTCAGGACAAAACATTTGGATGGTCATCCTCATTAGATCTGAATCGCTCCATCTCAAGCGACAACTGTATTCATCATTATTCATCAGCATCTACAACATACAGCTTGCATGGTAGCACCCTGCCCTGCATGCTCCCAGCGATTTTGAAAGGAACAACTGTTGAACAAAGAATTCCCGTGGCGACAGTAACAACATGTCAAAACATAATGACACATCCCATGATTGTTGTCGATCACCCATTGTCATGACTACTGTGACGGCTACAGTTGTCCCAAGCGAAGATCCTGCTAGAACCAATCACGAAGGCAAAGAGCGGTAGCCAAATCGCCTGTCGTTCGTCTTTCAACCAGGACATGGAAACAGCGACTCTTCCCAAAGACCCGTCCTGAGTCTACCATTCTCAATGGACTTTTGTTCCAATTTAAGTGAAGTCCGGTGGCCTGGGACCATCCCTGCTGCCACCACCCTCCGTGTCCGTAGGCGTGCCTGAGGTGTACATCCAGCTCGACGGGGGGAGTGCACCCACAATGCGCCGCTGGGCAACCGAATCACCGCCATCTTGCCACCCACCTCGGTACGAGGCCGGACGAGGGAGAGTCGGATTCCCTGGGTGCGAGGCGGAACGAGAACGATCGATATAGGTGGACCAAACGTTACTTTGAAGGTCCTGGTATAGCATTTTCTGTAAGAGTGTGGAGTTCCCAATTTACAATTATTTAAGAGCTCAGTCGAACTGCATCATTCTCAAAGGCTGGCGGAATGGTGCGGCTTGGTCCGAAGTGTTTGACCTCTGGGAATGGACGAGACACAGGTCATGCGGACCGATCTGGACGTAGCGAGTGGGTCTCAATTGGAGCAAACACTGGCCGTTTGGATGCATGAAGACCATCGGATCGCCAGGAAATAACTCTCACCTTCACCTCCTCAAGCTCTGAGGTGGTAAGAGCTGTCTGTTCTGAGGTGACTGTAGACCTACTGTAGTTCTCCGGCCAATCCACTCACTCCTTGGTCTGGTCCGAAGAGCCGAGCTCCATAGGCAAAAGCAACTTGGGATAAGGACACTCAAGCCATACAGCCTAGTTTGACCAAGATTTGTTCAAGGCGCCCCGTTGGAAACAGCCCAGCTTTCACCCTGTCCGCTGTCTGCTGTCGGCCCATGGCCAGGACCAAGAGACATCGATGCTGTTCCACACGAACGGCCTCTCAGCGGCCCAAAGGCTTCCTGGGACGCAGCACCGCAGCACTGCACCGCTGGGATTGCTCCAGGTTTTGGCATAGGTTCCCGGCGCCTCCGGTGAACACGTGAAGTCGGCGAAGTCAGCGAAGTCCAAGGCCGGCGCGGCGAAATGCAGGGAAGGCAGTCCCGGTATGATAGCGATAACAATGTTGCAAATGTCTGCTTCGTGTCCGCCACGTGTCCGGGGAACTTTCAAGAACAGAACATGAAGACATTAAACCTTTGCTCCCAGCAACCAGCCCAGTCAGCTTGGATGTGCTTGCAGTTGACTGGTGTGGGCGTGACGCCTTCTGGTGTCTGGTCCAAGTTCCGGTGGCAGCTAGAGCTGAAGCAGGCTGGATAAGGACAAAGCTGGCTAGCGCTGCAGAAAGTCGCAGCCCAAAATAAGTCTATTATGACTCTATATCCCCCTTGACTGGGGCAACATCCTGCCAGAACTCCATCTTATAGTGGACCAATCATGGGGAATGACATCACTATGACTGTCTGACTCGAGAGTTCTTTGATCCTCAATGGACTCTGTTGTGTGCCGTGCTGTTGTCTGCGCAAGCGACGCGGACTCTCCGTACGACTCTCCGTCTGCTTTTGTGTTGACATGTCATGTAGGACTCTCCGTCTGCTCCGTTTCTCAGCAGTTCACACTAGTTTGCCACGTTTCCCTGATTCCCTAACTGATATGGTTGTCGGATCCAATGCAGGATACCTTGGTTGGCAGGTCCAGCTACAGGTTTTGATCCGTCCCTATGTGGACTATTCTTGCAGGCCAGGTGCCACCAAGCCGTCCCCCTCGCCGCGCTGCGCAAGCACCGCGGTCCCACGCAAAGCTCGCTGCTTGAACCCTGCAAAGGAGCTTCTTGCATGGCGGCTGGAAGTCTTTCAATTGAACAAGTGAGTCACTCGGCCAATGGATACAGCAAGTCCCTTAGATTTGTTTACACCCTCGCAGGCTGACATAGAACCTGAGAATAAACCATATGGGAAAAACATCTCCTCTACCAGCGCTTTCTGGTTCTATGGTAGTCTGGAAGGGTGTAAACATTGGCAAAGGTCACCACTGGCCATGTATCCAAAATCATACAAGCTGAGTATTGAAACCTTGTTCTTTCGTGCCAAAACAAGGGGGGGGTGGTGGAAGGTGATTACCCTATACAGTACATCTGACTCTATGACTATTTATCGAAGTGGGATCCGCTCAAGACTCTGCAAGCCGACACTTCGCAACCGCAAGAAACAACTTCCGTAGTCCAGGCCGTGGCCAGCATGGGGCTGTTCTCTGAGCATCGGAAAGAGGCTGGGGACCTCGTCGCCTTTCAAGACATGTGACTAACACGAGCAACGAACGACTGAACCATATACATTGGGTAACATCATGT